CGGCGCATGTGCATTACATCCATCTACTGAACAAGGATGGACTTATGTCAAACTCCAATGACTAAAGAATCCAAGGACAAATAACACGCTACAGCAAATTGTGACGCTGGCATCAAACAGTGCCGTGGCACATATTTTTCTTAACCTAGCTGTTTGAAGCAATATTTATATTTTTTGATAATTGTTTTGACTACGACTATGGTGTATCATACACTAACTTATTACGAAAAAAACGTATCTAGAAATGTTAACAAATAGATACACAAAACAACTATATCGACGGTAAATAGCCACAATATCTAAAGAGTACCGATATGAGAATGTTACATTGAAATTGAAAAAAAAAGACTTTTTTATTTTATAAAAATTAGACCAGGGCTAAGAACAACGGATAAGTTTTTACCTGTGAAACGTAACTCCTCTGGCTCTTTCTTGTTACTGCTTCTTTTACATTTGAAAGCTACACAATTCACCATTGTAACAAAGTTTATACAAAGTATCCACTACACACAACAAACTATTAAAAATCGCTAAAAATTGTCGCTGGTGACTGGATGATGACTCACTGTTTGGCATCAAACGAATGGCGTCTAACGTCACAAATTCTACTACAGCCCGTACAGGGGCGTTACATGTCCTTATATTCTTTAGTCATTGTCAAACTCGATCTTCTGTCCTTCAATCCTGGGACATAACTTCTCTCATTGCTCTTATGGGGAGGCCGCAGTATATTTTAATTAAAATGTATTTGCATAATTCAAATGGCAGTTTCATCCGCCTGCCTTTTACCATATTTTGTGCTTTATTTGGTAATGGTGTGGATCCGGTGGCTGACCTTGAAACGAGTTTTTGATGCATATAGTCACAGACACTACGCATGCGCACATCTTCGGTGTTGCCAGTTTGCAAGTTATTTTGGAATTATTTTCAGTAAAAGACAAATATGTGCTTTTCAGTGTTTTTTTGTCAATGATATACATATGGAAACGCGTTCGATTGGCTGGGAAATGACGATTATGAACATTTCCCATATAAAAGTGACAAGCGATCTTCATTTCATAGTCATCGCTGACGCTATTTTTTTCAATCATAGTACCGTATAATTATTTATATATATTTTAATAATTTTTTTTTTTTTTTTGATCATACGGTACTTGTTTTAGATAGAAACTAAAATAAAATAGGAAATAAAACTACTAGATTCTATATGATTAATCTAATTGCTCTAGATTATTATGCCACGTTTAAAAAGTGCTTTATTATAAATTCGGGAAATTAAAATGGATGTGTCCAAGTTTTTTCTTTTTTTTTTTAATTTTAAATGCTGTAGCTCCAAATCATGTTCATAATAGTCTTTTTTAACATTCCATCAAAACTAACGGAGGCCTTTTAAGCCTCCGTAGTTAAAATTTTGGTAGAATCAGCTTCAGCAAACATTAACAGTTACCTTGTTTAAATTCTGCTTATACATATATTGCTATAATTTTCTGCTACCACGTTAAGATTTTTCTATCTTACACCTAATTTATGTGAATTTCTTAGCCATATATGATTTATAAACCATTATTTTTTTTTTTTGTCAGTTTTTATAAAACTACATCATTAGTGTAAACATTTATTTCCAACAAAGTATAATATAGTATTAAGATTAAAGACATTAACAAATATTATAAGAAAGATCCTAATATAAATCACAAACTAACTAAGTCTAATTTGTCTTGTTATAACAAAGTAAAAACTATAAGAATCAAAACTCAACCGTTCTTCCATATTGTCAAAAATTTTGGCATTTAGAAACAAGAAATTGCCGTAAATTAAAAAAAAATCTCAACCAGGGTAATTACAAATAAGTAATATAATCTACGACACAAACCATCTCCCTTCTAAAGAGAAAAAGATAAAACATAAAAGCTTAATTAGTCTTTATCAACAACACTTTTCGATAAAATATATGTCTAAAATAGCTATTAATCGCACTAACTTGATATTTTTAGAAATTATGATACAAACATATAATCAAAGTAATATTATTTAGATACATTATAGTAAACATGTTACCGGTCCTATCTCCTATTGACGTGGATGTTCTAGTATAAAAACGCGTCAACGTCATGGTAAGTTTCAATCATCAATTCATATAAGCAAAACTATGTTGCCTGTAAATAATAGAATTAAATAACTGAGAAATAAAATAATCTAAAAGTTTTAAAATCAAAATAAAACACTAAATACCAACAAACACCAAAACACTTTTACTTTTACGCGCGTTTCGCTAACCATTTAGCATCATCAGCAGAATATTATAAACTAATACCATTAAGAAAAATCCGTAAATGATAATTTGTAATTCTAATGTAAATATATAAATAAAATTTATTATTATTACGAATTTTATATATTCAATAATAAATTTCATTTCACAATCTTCAAAATTATCTTTCTTACCTTAATTTTGGATATCAAGAATAAATTCTGAAATTATAATATTTAAAAAAAAAAAAAAAAATTTTGTAATTATTATTGATTAACATTTCCACTGCAAATAATTCGAAAATAAACTGCAATTTGGCAACATCGACGATGTGCGCTTGCGTAGTATTGATGATCAAATGCAGCAAATATGGGCTTCAAGGTCAGCCACCGGATCCACACCTTTACCCTTTATTTATTATTTAACAATGGTTAAAGTGTTTTGTGGTGCATTGTGGTTAATAGTGTTTTATTTAAAATAAAAAAAAAAAAAAAAAAAAAAAAAAAAAAAAAAAAACATAATATAATTCAGTATTGTATTATTTGTATTATATGTAAAAATTAGAGACAATCAAAAGTGTAGTAAACATTTTTCGTAAGATTATTGACATACATGTTACAAAAGTATATTTTTACAATCCTTTTTATAAAGTTACCTCTACACTCCATGACTCCATACTACACGGTTTGAGGTATTTGACCATAGAAAAGAAAACATGATGATTTGACAATTTGACGTTCTGATTGTGGTTCTGAGGGTGCAGCCACACTATCCCAGGGCCATGTAAGTGAAATATTAAAAATGGTTCCAGCAAAAGTTTCCCAATTATGACGGATGATGGCGCTGATCGTCAAAATTTTTGGACAGGGATTTTGCTTACCGACAATACGACGTGAGCTACGACCGGACCAGGACCAATCAGAATGATCAGTCTTTCTTGGACATTTGCCGCGAAAGTGTGTGTTAATTTCTGTTGTGATAAGTGTGGTTGTGTTTGCAGTTTTCGGTTTTGATATTAGTTAAAATTAATTTTTAAAAAAAAAAAAAAAAAACACTTTTTATGTTAGTTTTTTAGTTTTGTCTGATATGTTTGTTGTTAATGTTTGTTAAACAATGTTATACCAAAGAGGTTATACCTAATATACTTATCAATTTGCAAATAGCTCAACTTTTTAATCAAATTAACTTCTGTAGATTTTCAGAATTATATTAATCTCCTTTTTGTATTCACGTTTGTAATTTTATTTTTAAGACATAAAATAAAAATAAAAAAAAAAAAATATATGTTTTAAAAATAAAATTGCAAATAGCGAAAAAAAATAAAAAAAAAAAAAAAAAGTGTATTTTACAATTCCCGCGCCCCACTCCCCCCCTTACCACCCCCCCCACCCCCCCCCCCCCCCGGCCCCGCACCCCTTTGGCTAACCTATAATGTCAGCTATGTCGAGAGATGGCGTTACGAAAATGGAACCGATTTATTACAAGGAACTTGGGTTTCTTTTTCGTTAGTATATTCTATGCACTATCCTAAAAACGGCGTATCGGCGTAAAGCTTGTTTCATATAGACGCGAATTGCGAAAAGCGATTCGCCAAAAAATATTCGCAAAATTTGGACCTATTTCATATAGTCGCGAATTTTTAGGGACATTTCATTTTTGCTCTACTGAAAGTTACTAAAAAAAATCATAACCTGAGATAACTTAATTTGTTTTTATTCATGTTTACGATCTTTATTTTATATTTTATAGCATACAATATGAGTTTAAATTTGTTTAATGATTAAATGATTATGAATATTGATTACGATTGTGGGATTGGAACAGAAGGTGCAAAATTGCCATTTACTTATTGTTAAAACGTAGAATAGAACGGGTTTATAGGTCATTTAGAACATGTGAAATATTTAAATTTCGTAAGCAACAAGGTGCTTATCGCAATTTAATTTAAGAAATGAGGTCAAAAGATGAGAAAAAATTTAGGAATTTTCACAGATTGAGTCTACTGACTATGATGTGTTTATGTTTTTCACAGATTGTCTGTATAGGAGTTTGATAACTTGGTTGAAAAATTGTCACCATATTATATCAAAAACATATACACGAGAACCCATTTCACCTGGAGAAACGCTTTCAGTTACTTTGTACTTTGGTACTTTGTGGCAGCGTCTGGCAGCGTCGTCAAAATAATCGATAACCGGATCACAACACCATTCTGCGCAAACGCGAACCTTAAAATCGCGCGAATATTCGCAAAAAGTTGAAAACACTTTAACTTTCCCGCCCCCCAAATTTTAAATCTTGCGAATCGCCGAAATCTTAAAATTTCTGACAGCGCCGCATGATCATTAAAATTGGACCAATGAGAGCAGTTTCGCAAAATCGCAATTCGCGATTCGCGTCTATATGAAACAAGCTTAACGGCGTAATGACCTTGAATAGATTTCCAGTAATTCTATTGGCTGAAATATTCATCTGTCAGAAATTTTATCTGTCAAATTCATCTGTCAAAAATATCAGCCAATAGAATTGCTGGAAATCTATTCAAGGTCATTACGCCGTTACGCCGATACGCCGTTTTTAGGATAGTGTGGCTGCACCCTGATTTGACGTTTGACATGTGGCAACGAACATGCAATGAAAAATATTTTGTCTGATAGAGTTTATTTAAATAATAATAATTAAAAACAAATTGAAACTATACAAGGTTGTAAAATAAAATTTCTGTAGGATAAAATTGTATAGGGTAAGTTTACAAGCGATTTTCTATACATTCACGGAATTGCAAGCGCAAGGTCGTTGACAATCTTCACATTTTATCTCCCTGATTTTAGTGGTGTGAATTTTAAACTGAATTTCTACATTTATGCATTTATTTATGTAAAAAATCCCGTCGGGATCAAGGATCTCTTTGTAATCTCCTATAATAACACCGATACTTTTCGCTAATGACAATTTCTCTTTATCCACTTTTTTAGTTTTTTTCAGTATCATGTTTGAAGCGTTAACACCAATCACATTAAATATTGCTGATATGACACAGTACTCTATGGGATTTGAATCTAGAACTGAGAAGTTGTTTCAAAACAGACTACTCTATAGGTCTTATGTTTACCTGTGTTATGCCACTGCATGTATATTCCAAATTTTATCATTTTATCAATCAGACTCTTTTTTATTTTAATATATACTTTCCATATTATGCCTCTAAAGTAAAATGTAGAAGGATACTCAAATTTTTCAGGATCTCCAGACACCATAATATTGTAAAATGGACATTTCAACAAGTAAGAATCCAAAAATGGATCTAATAGCAAAGGTTAATAGCCATATCAACAATTTAAATTTGAAGTTTTTTGTTTATTACCTATAACAGTTACAGTTGTTGTGTCTGACAATTGTAAATAAGGCTTTGTTTCTACAATAAATTTACATACAACCATACTTTGTGATAAATTAAGATCCTGAATATTAATTTTGACTGTATCTCCCAGTATAAGTTCCATAACAGAACAATAATTCTTAGGGGATTCATATTTGAGTTCATTATTTACTGAATAAATTCTGTAAAAGGTACGAATGTAAAGTGTGTATAGGTATTACCAAAGAATATCTGAATACCCTAGAAGTCTCGTCTGGCATCAAAATCTGACCTGTCGATGGGGCCTCGCTTTGGCGAGCGAGGCCCCAACTTCGTGGAGCCTCGCTATTTTGCTCGGAATTGAACGAATAGACGCGCGGCGTTGCCTTGTTTTGTGTGTACTTTCTTGAATAGTTTTAAATTATAGTTTTAAATTTTATCTATTGCTATAATCAGTCTTTCCGTTCTCCGCACTCCGCAGTTTACATATAATAAATATTATCTTATATAATTCCCGTGTTACAGTTTTGGTTACCGTACTCCTCCGAAACGGCTTAATCGATTTTGATGAAATTTTATATGTATATTCAGTAGGTCTGAGAATAGGTAGTTATATATTTTTTATACCCTTAAATGATAAGGGTAGTCCACCCCCATTTTTTTATTTTGTGAAAAAACAATATTTTAATTTTTTTTATTTGGCATTAAAAAATACAAACAACACTAAATTTTCACCGTTCTACTTTCATCCCCTTTTTTTAATAGGGGTTGTTTTTTTAATTTTTTGTTACCATCTCCGAAACGGCTTAACCGATTTTGATAAAATTTTATATGTATATTCAGTACGTCTAAGAATAAGTTGTTATCTATTTTTATACCCTTAACTGATAAGGGTAGCCGAGAGGGTAACCCACTCTCATTTTTTTAGTTTTTGAAAAGAAAAAAATGTTTTTTATTTTTTTATTTGGCGTTAAGAAATACAAACAACCCTAAATTTTCACCGTTCTGCTATCATCCCCTATTTTTAATAGGGGTTGTTTTTTATTTTTTTTTGTTGCCATCTCCGAAACGGCTTAGCCGATTTTGATGAAATTTTATAAGTATATTGAGTAGGTCTGAAAACAGGTTGTTATATATTTTTATACCCTTAAGTGATAAGGGTAGCCCACCCCCATTTTTTATTTTAAAAAAAATATTTTTTATTTTTTATTTGGCATTAAAAAATAGAAACAACCCTAAGTTTTCACCGTTCTACCATCATCCCCTATTTTTTTAATAGGGGATGTTTTTTTAATTTTTTGTTACCATCTCCGAAACGGCTTGATCGATTTTGATGAAATTTTATATGTATATTCAGTAGGTCTGAGAATACGTTGTTATCTGTTTTATACCCTTAAGTGATAAGGGTAGCCCACCCCATTTTTTTATTTTTTGAAAAAAAAATATTTTAATTTTTTATTTGTCATTAAAAATACAAACAACCCTAAATTTTCACGGTTCTACCATCATCCCCTATTTTTTTAACAGGGGTTGTTTTTAAGATTTTTGTTACCATCTCCGAAACGGCTTAACCGATTTTGATAAAATTTTATATGTATATTCAGTACGTCTAAGAATAGGTTGTTATCTATTCTTATACCCTTAAGTGATAAGGGTAGCCGAGAGGGTAGCCCACCCTCATTTTTTATTTTGAAAAAAAAAAAAAAAATTTTTTATTTGGCTTTAAAAAATACAAACAACTCTAAATTTTCACCGTTTTACCATCATCCCCTATTTTCTAATAGGGGTTGTTTTTTTGATACCATCTCCGAAACGGCTTGGCCGATTTTGATGAAATTTTATAAGTATATTGAGTAGGTCTGAAAATAGGTTGTTATATATTTTTTATACCCTTAATTGATAAGGGTAGCCCACCCTCATTTTTTATTTTTGGAAAAAAAAATATTTTTTTTTATTTGGCCTTAAAAAATACAAACAACTCTAAATTTTCACCGTTCTACCATCATCCCCTATTTTTTAATAGGGGTTGTTTTTTGATACCATCTCCGAAACGGCTTGGCCGATTTTGATGACATTTTATTATGTATATTGTGTAGGTCTGAAAATAGTTTGTTATCTATTTTTATACCCTTAAGTGGTAAGGGTAGCCCACCCCATTTTTTATTTTTGAAAAAAAAATTATTTTAATTTTTTTTATTTGACATTAAAAAATACAAACAACCCTAAATTTTCACCGTTCTACCATCATCTCCTATTTTTTAATAGGGGTTGTTTTTTTTTAAGTTTTTTGTTACCATCTCCGATTGACCGATTTTGATAAAATTTTATATGTATGTATATTCAGTACGTCTAAGAATAGGTTGTTATCTATTCTTATACCTTTAAGTGATAAGGGTAGCCGAGAGGGTAGCCTACCCTCATTTTTTTTTATTTTTGAAAAAAAAATATTTTTTTTATTTGGCCTTAAAAAAATACAAACAACTCTAAATTTTCACCGTTCTACCATCATCCCCTATTTTTTAATAGGGGTTGTTTTTAAAGATTCTTGTTACCATTTCCAAAACGGTTTTGCCGATTTTGATGAAATTTTATTATGTATATTGAGTAGGTCTGAAAATAGTTTGTTATCTATTTTTATACCCTTAAGTGATAAGGGTAGCCCATTCCATTTTTTATATTTTGAAAAAATATATATTTTTTTTTTTATTTTGCATTAAAAAATACAAAGAACCCAAAATTTTCACCGTTCTACCATCATCCCCTATTTTTTAATAGGGTTGTTTTTAATTTTTTGTTACCATCTGTGAAACGGCTTTTTACCGATTTTGATAAAATTTTATATGTATATTCAGTACGTCTAAGAATAGGTTGTTATCTATTTTTATACCCTTATGTGGTAAGGGTAGCCCACCCTCATTTTTTATTTTTTGAAAAGAAAAAATGTTTTTATTTTTTAGTTGGCATTAATAAATACAAATAACCCTAAATTTTCACTGTTCCACCATCATCCCCTATATTTTAATAGGGGTTGTTATTTTAAATTTTTGTTACCATCTCCGAAACGGCTAGACCGATTTTGATAAAATTTTATATGTATATTCAGTAGGTCTGGTTTGGTTTGGTTTGGTCACAACCTATTCCTAGGTTGTTATCTATTTTTTATACCCCTAAGTGATAAGAGTGGCCCACCCCAACTTTTTTTTATTTTTTAGACAAATTTTTTATTTTAATTGTTTTATAGGGAGTGCTTATTTTTTGGGGGTGCATGTCCAAAATTTTCTTCTGGGTACACACTTTCATCACTTAAGGGACCTCTGTACAAAATTGCATACTCCTAGTCCTAGAACGGATTTTACATAAAAATTATACAAATTTTTACCCTTAGTTTTACCCCTTAAGGAATGAATTCCAAAATCGCTCTAATTATTCAATTACGCTACATAATAAACCTCTGTGCAAATCATCATATATAATCATCATCATATTCCTTGAACAGAATTTATTGTTCCAGAACGTTCAACCCTTCATTTCACACCCTTAGAGGGCGAATTTCCAAAAATTGCTTCTTAGTGCTAAATTACGTTACATAAGGAACGTCTGCAAAATTCATACTTCTACAACCGATTTTAACAAATTTATTGTACAAATTTTCATCCCTTATTTTTCAGGGGATGCATGCCTAAAATTCGCTTCTAGGTACTCACTTTCATCATTTAAGGGACCTCTGAACAGAATTTCATACTCCTAGTCCTAGAACGGATTTTACATAAAAAATTATACAAATTTTCACCCCTAGTTTTACCCCCTTAAGGAATGAATTCCAAAAATCACTCTAATTATTCAATTACGCTACATAAGGAACCTCTGTGCAAATTCTCATATTCCTTGAACAGAATTTATTGTTCCAGAACGTTCAACCCCTCATTTCACACCCTTAGAGGGCGAATTTCCAAAAATTGCTTCTTAGTGCTAAATTACGTTACATAAGGAACGTCTGCAAAATTCATACTTCTAAAACCGATTTTAACAAATTTTGTACAAATTTTCATCCCTTATTTTTAGGGGATGCATGCCTAAAATTTGCTTCTAGGTACTCACTTTCATCATTTAAGGGACCTCTGAACAGAATTTCATACTCCTAGTCCTAGAACGGATTTTACATAAAAAATTATACAAATTTTCACCCCTAGTTTTACCCCTTAAGGAATGAATTCCAAAAATCACTCTAATTATTCAATTACGCTACATAAGGAACCTCTGTGCAAATTCTCATATTCCTTGAACAGAATTTATTGTCCCAGAACGTTCAACCCCTCATTTCACACCCTTAGAGGGCGAATTTCCAAAAATTGCTTCTTAATGCTAAATTACGTTACATAAGGAACGTCTGCAAAATTCATACTTCTAAAACCGATTTTAACCTTTTGTACAAATTTTCATCCCTTATTTCTAAGGGATGAATGTCAAAAATTAGCTTCTAGGTACTCACTTTCGTCACTTAAGGAAACTCTGTACAAAATTTCATACTCCTAGAACTAACACTTTTTGTACAAAATTTCACCCCCCAGTTTCACTACCCTTAGGCTATACATTTCCAAAAATCGCTTATCAATGTTTATATATTATTAAGCTTTTATCTAATTACACCCCCTTATGGGTCGAATTTTAAAAAATTACTTAGTAGTGCTCATCTTAGAGAACGAATTAATATTCTCCGTATTTACTCCAGTTTCCTAATTCTAGCACAGATAACACATAATCATACTAGTTAATTTTTTATTGGAATAGAAGTAATTTTTATTAGAAGGTACAAAAAATTAAAAATCTAAAATTTTATTTTCATAGCTACGTTTTTTTTTCATAGCCTTAGGATGCCTCATGTACTATCGAATATACGAAATATATAATCAATACATATTTCTTTAAATATCGAGGAATAAAATATGTTTGGCAACACCGTACGAAATATCGCCGCGCGTAGTCCTCAAAATTTAAAATATTAGCATTTTCAGGCTTCGATTATGTTCAAAAGCGCCACCGTATGACAAATCACTAAAGCTTCCACACGAGAGTTCTTAAAACTATAATATTCTTTGGTATTACCATTACATACAGATACCCAGCTGGTCATCCATTTTATGTGGTCTGGATTTTAATGAGTGTGACAGAGAATAATATAAATGACTGGTTGACAGACAGAGAGAAAATCAAAAGCGGCATACAGTGTTGCCGTTTTTTTACGTTGGTAGGAAAATGATGTGTAGAAAAATATAAGCTATTTTAAAAATTTTCATGTATAGTACTGAAATGATGATAATATATCTAAACTAAATATATTACAGCTGTAGTAAAATAAGTAACTAATAGTGAAAAATAAAGTTCCAACCCTAGATGCAATATTTTTCGTAAACGCGTACTTGTGCAGTTTGAAATTTTGATGCAAAATCCGGCAATACCGCATAGATGTGTCGATCCAATTTTTATCTCCTTTAATACATTTGATTTTCCCGAAAATTTTCCATTAAGCTGTCTACATCACTGTCTTACACGTTAAAATCCAGACCGCACAGTTTCGATGACCATATCGGTATAGTGTTCTACATACTTAACTTGATACTTTACTTCTCCTTTAAATAATTTTCCTACATATATTAAATCTATCTGCAGTTCAGTATTTTCAGCATCGTAACTGCCCTTTATAAAGAATAATTTTCTAAACCTTGAATGGAAATAACAGATGGTTGAGGTACAGCTGTTCACATCAAGCACAAATTCCAAATTTTCTAGATATTCTAATTTATGGTATTCTTTACAGTGAATATCGAGTAAATAGGCTGTAAAATACATAATACAGTTGATTTATTGCACAGGATATACAGGGTGGCCTAAAAAGCTCCAAATTAGGTTCTATTTCAGATTTTCACTCCAAATATTATGACATGATGGTATTTTTGACATAGGTCACCCTGTATGTTTTTTGTGGACTGATTACCAGGCCCTTTAAAGTTGCAACACAAAAAACAATCATACTGTCCTTCAAGACATATATTTTCATGATCTAACATTTTATCTATTGTATGTGATTCCTCACAGCCTTCGTAACTGTTCACACATGGAAATAAGGTGTTCTTTAAAACCATTTCGTATAATTTAGACTCAACGCCATTGTTGTTGTCCTTTGAACATCGTCCTAATTATTATTTCTTTAATAATTATACATATATAAACACTAATTTTGTAAGCTTACCGCATTTAATTAGTCCGTTTGGATACACTTTTATCGGTTTAACCGATAGAAATTTTTTACATTCCCGGCATCTTTTTATTTTATCGAATATATTTTCGTTTATTTTCATAATTAATATTGTTGGTACTTGAGCGACTATACAAAAACTGAAATATATAAAAATCGGCTATATTTGTATATAAATGCCACAAAGTATCTAACGTTTTTAAAAAAAATCAATTCGGAAATAGGTATGCTAGTAAAAAATTGTATCTAGAATAAAGGTACATTCTTGTTTACTTGATTTACAATATGGTTTGGGAGAAAAACATGGGAATTTTGTTTGAAGTGCAAACCTAAAGCTCTGCCTAAAGTATGTACTATGTACTAGGATATATTTCAGGAAAATATTTTAACTTCTATAGGGTGGCTCAAAAAAGTGTGAGTGGATCGGGATGATTTTTTTTAAATGTAACACCCTGTACATTATTGCTTTTTTGGCTTCCTTTTGATCACCTTACATGATCCTAAAATATTAGTAAATATATTTGATAGTTTCAGACAGAGATATTAATAAATAAATAAAAAATAGCAGCCTTTTTTAAAAATAAGGCATTGAAAATACAAGACCTGCTGAAATCAAAACTATATTAGGTATTTACTTTACGAGCCCTAACAACTATATGTTGGGACAAGGTCATATTTTGGAATTATTGCCCTGGTTTTTCAAAATAACTGAAAAATATATGTTTAATTTTTTAAATATAAACATCGCCATATATCCTAAACAACTTGACAATATTTTTATGAATTTGTAAATCAATCCATATTTACAGTAGCGGATTTTGTTCATAAAAGGACAAATTTGCTGACAACTAAATGTTGGGACAAGTATTTTTAAATAATTAATATCATCATAGACGGCTTTGCTATAAACGTCACAAATGTCGCAAACTGTTTACTTCAGCATTGACAGCTTGTAAGTGACTCGATACTTTGAGTAGTGAGATTTACTGTAAGTAATTTTAATTTTTTTAATTTTCAATTTTGTTAATTATTTAATTCAAAGTAATGGTCCGTGGAAAAGCTACAAATCAAAAACTACGCGAAATTATCGTTCATCAATACAGTACGGGAAAAACAATTCGAAAAATTTCTGATGATTTAAGTACTCCAAAAACCACGGTCTTTAATATAATAAAAAAAATACGGCGAATCTGCCAATGTAGACGTTAGAGGTAAAAGTTCGGGAAGGCCAAAAGTTTGTATCTCAAAGAGATTTACGAAATTTAGTAAAAATTTGCAAGTCTGCGAGAAGTACTCTTCGCGAATTAACAGTTAAATGGAATACTGAACTGGTTTAAATATATCAAGAGAATGTTGCCGAAAATATATCCATAAATGCGGTCTGGGGTTTTACAAGGTAAACTTTATTTTGTGTGGATAATCAATTACCTGAAGATTATTGATACAAATTCTTATTTAGGCCAATGAAAAACCGCTACTGACAGAAATTCAGAAGAAAAATCGCTACAATTTGGCAAAATCTAATTTTTTGTTGCACATGTTTGCGTTGGAGATCATCGAAAACGAATAATACGAAATAAAGCAGAAGCCTTTCATAAAGATTGCTTAAAGAGGGTTGTTAAATTTCCTAAGGGGATTATGGTTTGGGGTTGCATGTCAGCAAGAGGTTTGGGCAAATTAAATTTTATACATGGCACTGTTAACGCCCAAAAATATCAACATATACTTGGGACCTCACTTTTGCCTAGTGCTCAAGAATTGTTTCCAAACGAAAACTCTATTTTCCAACAAGATGGAGCATTGTGCCATTCAGCAAAATTAACTAAAAATTGGTTCAGTAATAATAATATAAAAGTTCTATCCCATCCTGCAAGTAGTCCGGACCTCAATGTTATAGAAACTGTGTGGCATAAAATGAAGCAATATTTAAGGAACCACCCTCAACGGACAATTTTTGATTGGTGGGCAAAACTGCAGGAAATTTGGGATAATTTTTCTCCTCAAATGTGCCAATCTTTGGTAAATATAATGCCATTAAGAGTTCAGGCAGTTGTTAAGGCGAAAGGTGATGTAACTCCGTATTAAACAAATTTCTTGTTGTGCTGTTCCAATATATAGTTGTCAGCAAATTTGGCTTGATTTTGACAAAATAAGCTATTATCAAAAGTGATTTGTTTGCAAAGTTATAAAAATGTAGTAAAATTGTCTAGATCATATTGTAATGTTTGAATTTAGAATAATAAACAAAATAAATTGAGTCGTTTTAACAAATTACTATTTTTTGTTGCAAAAAAGACCTTGTCCCAACATATAGTTGTTAGGGCTCGTAGATAGTCTATACTTAACTTTGCTATAAATATCGTAACCTTAAATCAAATAGGGTGTTCAAAATTCTACGCCAAACTTTCTAAAATATAAAATAATTTTTCGTTTTTTTTTTTAATTGAACACCCTGTGTATTATTTTTTCAATGGACGGAAAATTAAAAAATTAACCTTTTTCTATATCTTATGTAGGTATTTCAAAATTTTTAATTATTTCGCAGATACACGCATTATTATTTCATATGCCTGTAAAATATCAACTGTAAAATACGAGCGAAAAATCATTCCTTAATAAAAATTTACAGTGGTAGCCAAACCAAACCTCCCACCTACCGTGATGTAAAACACATTTACCAAAAAAATGTCACAGAAAATACCCAAAGGGGCAATGTGTTGAGGTTAGGTTAGATAGGTATACGGATCACATCAATTATGGGTGTGTACAAAACAACCCTGTGCACTCTTCTTCATATCTCTTACTCTCTTACGGTTTCCGGGATCCCAATGGTGGTCATTGAATTTGGAACACCCTGTACAATGATTTCGTTGTTATCCTGAATATCGATATTATTTTTTAAATGTCGATATTTTTGTACATCCATACGCTGATATCTTGGCAACCGCTCACGGCCTCTGTCGACTCATCGATGTATTTTTGTTTGCTTGTTTGCTAATCTCCGTTTCATATGATTTGCATCGAATTTTCTCAGTTCCGAAATTTTTGCGAAACCACCATCATCAGGCTCACGGCCTTTTCGACCGATTATTTTGTAAGAATAATCGAACTTATCGAAGTTCGGCCTTTCAAAACAAAGAAAACACTTCAAACGAGCCAGCTGATTATGATGCTAAAAATAAATCGACGTGATTTTATCCTTAGAATATTCTGACTTGAGGAAAAGAAGTTTCGAAGATAGAAAATGGCAGAAAGATTTCGCGACAGTACTTCTTTTTACTATGGGGGCCCTAGAAGGGCCTCGCAGAGCGACGATCAATCGTTGGGACCTAGAAAAACGCTGCTGGTGCTAGTGGTGGTAGCGGGGTGTTTCGCAGTGTTATGGCCTAAGGTTTTCTACCCCATGTTGGTAAACAGTACCAGTGGTCAAATAAAGCCCGGACCGGTGGATAAGATTTCAGGTAAGCACGTTTTTTTACACAAACAAATTACATAATTTACTTGTCACAGTATAAGTGCTGTTTCACATGGAGCGGACCGTTCGCGCGGATCATCCGTCCGGACCGTCCGTTGGTTGAACAAGTACCATGACCATGAGTTAATATGAATAATTTCACATTGGTGTGTTGGTTGATTCCGACGGCCGACGGCGATCTATCGAGCCCTTGCTTCGACGAATCATCCGCGCGGAGATGTGCTATACATATGTAAAAGCGTTTTACATGGTCAGATTGACAACACAGTAGGTAAAAGTACTCCGTCGTACCATAAAAGTATATACGATGGACCGCGCGGACGGTCCGCTCTATGTGAAACAGCACTAAGAACATTTTTTGGGAATTTAATTTAATTTTTTGTGTTTGAATTCGTACTATTTTCAAGTGTAGCAAGAAATAAACATTTTGTTTAAATCTATATAGGATGTTGTGATGTAATATCAGAAATAGACCTGGACACTATCAAGATAATGTCTGAATTATGCGGTACTATAATAGAGCCGCATAGTTCTAAAACTCCATCTCCGAAAGAAATAGTCACACAGTGTAGAACTGCCGTCCTAGAGACTTGTGGTATCGATATATCGGCAGTTTTGCAAGAAAGAGTATCTCTAGGGCACTCTGTAAAGCAAATTTTGGACGAAGTGAGGACACTGAATGGATCTCTATGTTTAAAGTACAACTTTGGAGTGTCCCCATGGAGTTTGGGTGTGCCACACAGAGTTCACGTCAATATAGATCCAGGCAAGAGTTCTTTCAGTGTCTTGGCACTAACTTTTGACGTGACTAATCTTAAAATAACAAAGTAATCTGCAGAGTAACCAAGTGTTCCAAAACCGGTTTTTTACTACCTAACACTTTTTTTAATCAACTAAAATTTTTTAACACTAACGACTCTTATAACCAGTAACGAAATAATTATTTTGTTTCAATATTTTTTCTCATTTGTTCAGCTATCAGACAAGAACGCCCCACCCATATTAGACCAGAAATGGTTCATCCGGCGTTCAAGGAACGCGGAAGAGCAATCCCGCAACCGGAAGTGACATCATCACGTCGTCCTGGACCTCCACCAAGGATCGTAGAAGGCAGGGTAAGTGAAACATGACAGATCACGTTAAGGAGTCTTAATTTATTCTAAATTTTAGAAGTACAAAAATTGACCCTAATCAATATTTTAAATATTTTGATTATACCAAATAGAATAGAACATGTAAACAAATAAAATATCCTATCTGTATATCTATTTGTTACCATAAATATCGTGGAGTTATTTTTAGAATTTATAGGTTCCAAATGGAAAAATTAACTACTATTGGGTCATGTCCAATTTATATTTATATTTTCGCAACGGAATGTACCACTATTTACCTCGAGTTTTATTATAATTATTATTATCTACAGACATCCTAAAATATATCTACTTACATATTTATAAGTTATTCCTTTGGACTCTTATTTTATATACACCAAGAAGAAAATATATTATTTAATTGAAATTGCATCTTAATTCCAGGACTTATAGACATAAACCATATTTGATACACAGAATTATATTGCAAATTAACATACTGAGTGATCACGCATACGGAAAGGATACCGAAAACTGAAAGATTTAGAAACAATATTTTTCATAGGTGCAGGCAATGTGTATAATTTAAAATTGTTTTGAAATGTACAGAGTGTTTCAGAACTAAGATCCATACCAAAGTTATATTTTTTCTTATGGAACACCCGGTATTTTATTTAATTTTTGGATTCTAAACATAAAATACATAAAATAAAACACTTATTATAAAGGTTTAATATGTTTAAAAGCTTTGATTTTTGAGATATTTAAATATGCATGCTATAATAAAAAAGTTTGTCCATAAACTAATGTCGATTTTGAAAATGGCTACTAACTGTCACTAGAAAATTGTCAGTATATTGTATACATTTAAGAAAGCAATCAATTTTTTTAGTAAAGTTTATTTTTCTACCTTTAAACACAGCACAAGAATTAATTCTGAAAGGTAATGTGCAGGGTGTTGACAAACTTTTTTGTTATAGCATGCATATTTAAATATCTCAAAAACCAAAGCTTTTAAACATATTAAACCCATATAATAAAGGCCATAGTTGATGTCCAAAGATCCAAAAATGAAATAAAATACCGGCTGTTCCATAAGAAAAAATATAACTTTTGTATGGAGCTTAGTTCTGACACACCCTGTACATTTCAAAATAATTTGAAGTTATGCACATACGGTAATCGCAAAACAATTTCCGATGCGTGATCAACTTTGAGTGACAAGCGATGGCGACAGCGCTGCCAGATTGTGATGGATTTATGGAATAAATCTTAATGTAAAGTTGGGAAACAATATATTTATTACATCATGTTTTAAAGATTTTTACGTTTTCTTTTTAATTTAAAAATTAATATTTTAATAATTAATTTAATTTATTTGTTTTGTAGCTTATTTTATTACATATTGGTAAAAACTAGTCCAGTATGAAGCTTATTCTAAGCGTTATTATGGGTTATTTATTCACTTATTTATTGATGTACAACTTACAACATCGCAAGCGGTAATAACAATTAAGAGGGTGCCATTAATGCACAAACTAATAATCACAGAATTTACTAAAAACTGACGTAGAAATAACTTTGAAAGTGGTATAACGTGCTTACCAATCGTCTCTGACTGCAATTAAGGGTAATACATCACCTTTATTTTCACATTCTCGTTCAAAATAGTTTATCAGGGAAGCTACAAGCTCTTTACTTTGACTGTTTAAACCATAGACTTAAAATAAAATATAGACTGAGCATCTCATTCATAAATAGCTGGAACATGCGGTCAGACACTGTCTTGTTATTGTTGTGTTATTGTTTTAGGTTATAACGAGTGCGACACGAGCGATAGATAGGTTGTCTCTGTCGTAACGGTCGTTCCCTGACGACTCTGCCGAGAAACACAACACTGTCTTTCGTTTCTCAAGTACACCTGAACTCTCCGTATCATAGCCGGGTAATTGTTTTATTTTAATGAAGCTATAATTAAATTAAAAATATATCGTATTTAAACTTTTTTATATTTTATTAAGATTTAGGACAGGTTTTTAAATAAAAGTTTAGAAAAAACGTCTTAGAGTCCAAAAAGGATAAAAATAATAAAATACACGTTATAGAAGAAATTTTATAATCGAAATTACGTAATTTTTGAAATTAATAATAAATTATTAATTTTAGTCAAACATTTACAACCCCTAATATTAATCAAAACAGGATCTATTCCACAGATTTAATAGAATCGGCGACAGGGAGAGAAAAAAAAATATGATTGTTGTAATTTTTTTTCTGGTTAAGTGATGTCTTATGTAAATTAGAGAAAACATAAATCTGTTCCATTAAAGCAAGGAAGGTGATAGGAAGTGGATAAAATGAAAACTACATTTATTTAACTCGGTACTGTCTTTATTATACCGGGTGCGTCCCAAAAGTGGCTCATCCCCATAATTTTTTTATATTTTCAAATGAAAAAACAAGATCTAGTATGTTAGTACATGACATAAATTAGGATTGATTGACGCATTCAATTGTTTTTGGTCACTTCCTGTTTCACCGGAAATGACTATAACATTTAATTTTTAAACGGCACCCTTGGTATATTTCTACTTTATTCGATAGAAAATGACACTCTGAATAGAATGACACATCATATGTCAACTTTTGACATTCTCGCATATGGTTTAATTGTAATTGTAACACGCGGTTCATAACGACAATTTGACTCGAAATACCAAGTGTGTGGTATCAATATATTCATAAAAAAATGCTTTTTCCAAATATGCTAATGAGTCCCTTATTCCCTTGTTCCATTTGAAAAAATTGACATATGCATGATTAAAAATACGATTTGTACATCTTTTAACCGGCCTAGACAAGACACGAAACCCATTAGACGATCAAAACTATTTTTCCAAGGCTCCTTGATTAAAACTTAGTGTTTTTAACAACACCATGGCACCCTGGATTGAAATTTAAAATAGGATTTGTTTTTAAGCGACAATGTCAAAAGTTGACATATGATATGTCATTCTATTCAGAGTATCATTTTTTATCGAATAAAGTAACAATATACCGAGGGTGCCTTTAAAAATCAAAGGATGTAATCATTTCGGTGAAACAGGAAGAGACCAAAAACAATTGAATACGTCAATAAATCCTAATTTATGCCATATACCTACTAACATACAAATCTGTTTTTTTTTTATCTGAAAAAATAAAAAAGTTATAGGGGTGAGCTACTTTTGAGAAGACCCGGTATATTAAAAATTCATAATGTAATATCATTTTAAAATTCTTGTATGTTATTTTAGATTCTGAAGATAATTTTAGAATAAACCGGAATATATTTAAAAAAAAAACATTATTAATTATTAACAGGGTTATAATTATGATTTTGTTACAATGTAAGTAAGTAAATAATGTAATGTAAGAGAAAAAATTCAGATTTTACATTTTACTAAAATATTATCTAAATAAGCGCCTTTCTACAACAACGCCACTGACTCCCAATGGGTAAATTGAGAGTTGCCTACCGGTCAAAAGTCGTTTCAAGACTTAAATGGATTATTTAAGTCAAATTTCTTGCAAATTTGGCACTGGCGAACCATATTTTATAGTTCTTGAACAGAAAAAGTCAATAAAATAAACACTTAAGCAGTACAAGCTAAGAAAATGCGTTAATACAGCCGGGGAGATAGCGGCAACAAAGCTTTACCGCACACGTGCGACACGTACTACAAGGTAATAAATGAATGAATAGGTTCCCTCGCCTCTAATCGGTGTTGTCATATTGTAAAGAACTTATCCTTTTTAAACAGTATCCGACTTATAATTTAGTAGTATAAGGACTATTTAATACATCTCTGGAATATTAGTACCTACTTTATTAAACTGTAGTATTAATATCTCAATATATGTGTATAACAAGAAAAAAAATATTGATAATATTAAAGACGTGACAACATAGGCTGGATGAGGAAGGCTCGGTCGACTGTACCCAGAAGTAAACATGTGTACAAAAAATATTGTCTGTCCGCGTTGAGATGTAAATAGTGTAGTCTATATTTTATTTTAAGTCTATGGTTTAAACGCTTCAGCATATTTTCAACACAATTTCAAGAAATGCAATACAAAAACTCGAGAATTTAATTCTTAAAAGAACTGTTTCTGCTTAAAAGTACAATTTAAAAAAAACTATGAAAATAGGCATAAAACGAGAATTTCTCACAAATATTCAACACAACACGGTATTATATAAAATAATGCCTGACATTATGATAATAATTGTCAAATAATAAATGACAACGTTGCTGAGTACAGCGATAATAAAATTTGGTTTAAACTAATTTTTGCAGCTTTAAACTAAATAAAAAATCATTTGCATTTTAAGTAAAATGAAGAGCTGCTCGGTATCTTAAATTATCCAACAAATTTTAAGATTTTAGCCAAAATTTCATTTAGTCATGTTTATAGGCTTTAGTGTCAATTTCGATATAACTGATGAGGTGCATCGGAAAATGTTTTGCGATCACCGTATATTACCTTTCCACATATAACTATAAAATATTTTGTTTCTAAATCTTTTCGTTTTTGTAAAGGTTTTTGTATAATTAACTGAGGCGAATGAGGTGCGTCACCCTGTATATGTATAAAAATCGATATAGGAATATTGATGTTTTAGAACATCTCGTAGAGTTTTTAGTTATAAAGTATCGATATTTTTTTATGTGTCTCGTCTCTAACACGTCTCATACCGGGTGCGTCTCAAAAGTGGCACACCCCTATAACTATTTTATTTTTTCAGATAAAAAATCGAGATTTGGTATGTTAGTATATGACATAAATTAGGATTAATTGACGTATTCAATTGTTTTCGGTTACCTCCGGTTTCACCGGAAATTACTACAACTTTTGATTTTCCTCGGTATTTTGTTACTTTATTCGATAGAAAATGATACTCTGAATAGAATGACATATCATATGTCAACTTTTGACATTTTCACATATGGTTTATTTGAAATTGCAACACGCGACTCATAACGACAATTTGACTCGAAATACCGAGTGTGTGGTATCAAATTATTTGTAAAAAAATCCTTTCTCCAAATATGCTAATGAGCCACCCTCGTTCCATTTGAAAAAATTGAGATTTGATTAAAAATACGATTTCGGCATCTTTTAACTGACCAGGACAAGACACTAAAAACATTACATTTATTAAAACGATCAAATCTATTTTTCCAAGGCTCCTTGATTAAAAATTAGTGTTTTTAACGAGCCATGGCACTCTAGATTGAAATTTAAAATACAATAATGTTTTAAGCGAAAATCTCAAAAGTTGACATATGATATGTCATTCTATTCAGAATGTTATTTTCTATCGAATAAAGTAAAAAAAAAAATACCGAGAGTGTCATTTAAAAATCAAAAGTTGTAGTCATTTCCGGTGAAACAGGAAGTGGCCGAGAAGAATCGAATACCGATAATCAATCCTAATTTATGTCACATACTAACACACCAAATATCGGTTTTTTATCTGAATAAATAAAAATGTTATAGAGATGAGTCACTTTTGAGACACGCCCGGTATATTACCCAAAATAAAAGATATATTTGTACCACTATTCAAAGTAAACCGGTGCCTATGGCTCCAAACAGCGTTACGCAAAAAGTCAATGTTATGATTGCTGAAGGTAATTTTAGCTGAGGAGGATGTTTATCTTTTTTTAATTTTCGAGCTTAAGAAAACAAACTTTAATTACTGCACATCTGTGAGCGAAATTTTTGAAATTATCTCATCAGTAGATCTTTGTCTACCGTCAGTTCACACTCAGATACAGAGCAGTGAGGGATATAAGTAAACATAGAGGCACTCTACATAAAGGCACTCTACACATAAATATCATTGTTATAATCAATTACATTACTATATTTAGGTTAAATGAAACACTAACAACACGGAAGGTTGAAAAGACTCCATATCTAAATATCTTGCCACCTTTGAGCACATTTCTTACAAACATAATATGACACCCTTAGAATAGGGTAAAGGAAGTGTAGGGAGTATTTAAAATATTATGTATGTATTTTTAGCCGGGACCCATACCAGGAATGAGACCAGCCATGGGAGGCGCTGGTCATATAGTTCCACCCTCCAAACAATCCAATAATGGTTTCCTGGGTGTGCTAATGCCAATATACACTGTGGGATTCGTAGTGTTCTTCACATACACCATTATGAAGGTAGGCACAAGTGAGACTTCCAGTTGGCAATAGAATTATAATCGATTCTTTTTAGTTGGTGTTTAAGAAAAAAACAGAGACTTATAGCGGTTCTTCTTTGTATCCTCCTGTGGACACTGACGACCATCAGTTCCAGAAAGAAGTGTTTGAATCCAGCAGAGATTATTATAACAGACCTAATAGAGATAATAGTAAAATTGGTGAGTTTTTGCCTAGATATTATACAGGGTGGATAATAAAAAAATGTGATTTTTTTTATTTTAAATGCTTTATTTTTTCAAGAAGAAAATAAAATTCATAGTTTATATTTATAATGCTGCCTAGGTTGGAGGGAAAGGGATGCAAGTGAGTGTTTTTCCAACCTTATTCGATAAAATACACGTTATTTTACATAATAGTTTATAGTTTAGTCAGGGTTCTCTCTCTCTCATAAAAAATACAAATATAATTTTCTACCCTTTTCATTGTTCTCTATCGGTTAACCATTTGTATTTCTAGTGTCGTGGTTTTTAACCAATTTCAATTTTGTTAATTTAAAACAAAAAATGCATGCCCAAGCGTGCCTGGGGGAGATTTTTATAAAAATATATTTTTTCCTAGAAAAATGAAAGAAGAATCATAACTTGGCATATTTTTTTAACATGGGGACTTATTGTAATAGACCAAATTCGAGGTTTCTGTTGAAGAGAAAAAAATGGCTTTAAAAATTATATGTAGTTTTTTAGTTGTGGGATAGCACACTAGTCATAATAGAATAACACATTCTTTACTAAGCTTAAAATATACAGGGTTTACCTTAAATAAGTGCAAGTATGTTTGCTGGTAGTATATTCAGTGGCGGCTCGTGACCTGGGGGACGTGGGACTGGGTAGGCGACAAATTATAGTTGCGTCTATTTGACTCAAAATTTACATTATATTCTGACTCAGTGCATAAAACCCAATGTCTTTCTTTAAAATTACAGCTCAAAAATATTTAGGACAAAACTAAAATAACAGCATTCAGATATATGTATAGGTATATATGTTTTTTATATCCTTACAATGCTAATTTTTATACAAGTATCTGCTTTGGTAAATAAGGTAGATAAGAATACCATGCAGTTCAACATAGGATTTTATTTTTATTGATTGAGGTAAACTGAAATATATGTATATGGACAATTTTACAAGAAAAATACAGGTTCTCTTATTCATATACACGGTCGGCAACACCTAACCACAGATTAAGTATTATACATGTGTGGCACTTCTTTCAACTTGTTGATAAACGCCGCCGGGACCTCGGACATTTAATAGGGCTATTACGTAGTCGTGGTCGGCCGTAGCTGAAGCGTTAGTGTGTCGATCTGCGGAGCAGAAGGTACTGGGTTCGATCCCCAGCCAGTACGGTTTGGTTTGGTTAGTCATATATTTTAGTCATTTTACGCTTGTCATATTTTAAGTTCTTACAGTACCATTTCAGAGGGTTACTTTATATTAGTGATGGGATAACTCGAGCGAAAATTACTCGATTATTGAAATAACCGACATCGCTCGATTATGAACGAGCGATGCAAGTGACGAGTTACGAGCGACGAACGCAAGCGATCCTAGAATGAAATAAATTGAAATCCGATTTTAATGTGACATACTCGATAAAAAACCGAGCGAATTTTCTACATACACTGCAGGTAGCAAATTTATATACGACGTTATCCGTTGCGTATCTGAGTAACAAAATTTTACGACCTACATCGGCAATGCTTTGAAATAAACTAAATCAAGCGAATTACTCGTCGCTTTTTTACTTTTTATGTACTAAATTGATGCGTCGATCTCTTAATAAAAAAAAATATTGTATAATTGTCTTTCTTTATTCAGTACATCGTATTGTACTGAGCGTATTGCCCGTAACCTTTGTACACACGAAAAATCGACACCCAAGGCCAGAAATGCCGACCCGGCATATCTACCACCTTTGAAATACTTGCACATATTTAAGAGACACCCTGTACAGTAAGGAACACAAGGGAAATTGGTAGAGTTTCCAATTTAAGACATACTTTTTATTAATTTATTTATCACACTAAACATTTTTCAGTGTTTGATACTATCGAAATAAAACCTAAACCGTTTCCTATGCACCTTTTTTTGTTTTTTCTTTTTACGTTTATATTAACATTAAAAAATAATTCTCCAACCACGCGGCTGCGCAGGAGACGACGAACTCGACCAGCTGCGCAACAAGCTCAGAGAACCGCACGCTACACAACCAACTATTTTAGAGTCTTTTTCGATAAATCGCGATAGTGTCACTGTTAATTTAAGTGCTGCCACAATTTCCATCTAGATTTACTACCTTTATACAACTATCAGTAGTAGAATAAATAATAAATAACATAAAATAAGCTCCGTAAAGACTGACAAATCCACAAATTTTCAAATCAAATTCAAATGTGTCAAATAAATCGTCAAACAGAACTGTCAGGGATCCCCACCCTAGAGTGCTTTTATGGTGCTTTTTCCGCCCACCATGCATGAATACATGGATAGCATTATGCTCCTTCCTTAGTCTTCTTATTCAAAGGTGAAACGAATAACTTTGAATTTGACAGTTCCCGCGGGCTTTTCTAGTGTTAATTTTATTAGGCTAGCAGCTTGCGGCCATGCTGACGCAATGCCGTCTCTAATAGAACAGCCTCGGAGCGAGATTTATGACGTCACGCTAGTTAGCTACTACGGATTAATAAATATGTATTAATTAATAAATATATATGTTACTGCAAATGTCCGAAATGCGGCAAAAAACCTAGGATAAGCGCGCTAAACCTAGGATTTACCAAAAACATTAACTAATTAGGTTAGCCTGGTTATTTGGAGGGTGTTAATGCGTTGGTTAGCCTGGTTATTTGGAGGGTGTTAATGCATTGGTTAGGTGGTTATTTGGTGGCGTGGGTTGGTTTTTACTACCACTTGCTTTTGGTAAATTCTAGGTTTTACCGCATTTCGGACATTTACAGTAACATATATATTTAGTATATTTTATATGTAATTTTTTGGATTATATTCGACACTATTTTTTTCATATGACACAACACTGATAAGGGCTATAATATGTTAACCGAAACCAAATGAAAAAAAAAATGAAAAACCAAATGAAAACTTAATCAGCGTTTTTCCCGAACCTAAATCCCAAGAAAATCAAAAATTTTAGAATAATTTTACATATAAAATGACAGCGTTCTTTATTTCATAGCCATCGCTGACGCCTTTTTTTCTATGATATTGTATTATTTGCAAATATAATTTTTCGAACATTGATACTTGCAAAATATACATATAAATTTTGTGAATGTAAATAATAATACATCACTATTAGTAGATGTTGAATGTTTTTTGTTAAATTAGATCGATTTTCAAACCCCCAAATTTAAAATATATTTTGCATTTTGCCCAATATCTTATGTACCTATTTATTATTTGTATATTGTAAAACATTTGCTGCATTTGTATGGTTCATAGTTTATTTGCCAAAGTATTTATTACTATATTATATTTTATTTATTAACTGTATATTATGTATATTTCATGTAAACTATATCGTTTTTAAAATACAAACCAAAAATACGAGGAATAATTAGATTTTCCATGTATTCTACAACATATTTATTAATCCGTAATATCTAATTAGCTTGACGTCATAAATCTCGCTCCGAGGCTGTTCTATTAGAGACGGCATTGGTCTGATATTTAGAAATGTCAAAAGCTGATGACATTTTACTTTTGACAATTATGTCATTTCGAGTTGATTTTTCCAAGAAGAGGAAGAACTGTCACTTGTTTTATTATTTTCCTTTTCTATCTCACGAAAGTAAAAATAGTTACCTATCTGATTCGTTCAGGCACTCAATTTAAAGAATATCAGTAATTTTTTTGATAGAGGGATTTTATATTTGCCATGTTGGTAAAAAATAGCGGTCAAAATTCAAAGTTATTCATTTTATAGACTATAGCAAATATAGGGAATTAAAAGTTCTTGATTAAGATATTACTGATATGTGTAATACAGATTTGGTCAACTGTAGAAGCGTAGTCTAAATTTTAACGTGTAAGAGAGTGAAGGAAAATGCTCAATGAAAAATCAAATGTATTAAAAAAGAAGAAGTCGGGTTGATACATTTCTTCTATACGGTATTGCCGGATTTTGTATCAAAATTTCAAACCGCCCATGTAAGCGTTTACGAAGAATTTTGCATTTAATGTTGGATCTTTAATTTCCAGAATTAATTACTCATTTTACTACAGCTGTAATAGATTCTTCTTTTAACGGTCTCAAAACTACGTTGTGTCGTTGGCAAAACTGTAAAAACATATAATCGTAGTTATTAGTTTAGTAACTCAAGTCAAAATTGACAGCTGTTTTTTTGTTGCTTTAATGGCGTTGAATGCTTCTTTGGCGTGTAGCCTATGACACTGCGTAGTTTTAGAACGAAGGTTTACGCCTTAAAATACGATTTCTAGCACTATTTCTGACTTAATCTGAACAAATCAATGAATATTTATTTCTATGGTATTTGTAAGGGGAGGACAGATATTTTTTCCAATTTTTTAAGCAACTGTCTAACAGAATTGAGCATTATTAAATAGCTTAGATATATTATCTTCGTTTATTATGTTATTTCACGTACGAGCCGGCAACACTGTATGTCGCTTTTTATTTTTTCTCTCTGTCTGTCAACTGGACTTTATTTGAGTTTACTTTAAAAGTAAATTTTAAATACAAATCATATAATGTTAATTTGTATTATAACTGGTAATATTTGGAAATACAGCTACATCGAATTGGAAACGTTAAAATATGTAACATTGAAGAGTTAAATAATTTATTTAAAAATATTCCATTTTGTGACATTAATCTTAACAATATGATATAGTTTTTTATTTGTATATGGGCCAATAAAGGGACACATAGAAGTTTTTAATTTTGTATTTTGTCGATTTTCCGATTAATATGTAATCTACAATTTGTCGTCTTTTTATCGCGCGATCTTAATATCCCAGTAATTATATGCAATAAGTAACTATTATAACAGACTTTTTTTGTCAATATTAGTATGATTTCCAGGCTAAAGCTTATTAAAATTGATATACACAGAAGAAAGACAGACGCTTGATCAAATCAGTACCAAAGACGTGTTATCAACAACAATGAAAAGCGACTCTGCTTATCCAAGTAGGTTATAAGATCTAAGGTTTCAATTGGTCGATTGTCGGATGATGTCATTCTTAAATTTGTCAATATTTACATACCGAAATAGTTTAAAAAATTGTAGTTTGTTATGCTTTTTCAATTTTACATTCTAAACTCCACTGATGTTGTTGCATATCATGTGACAACATCATTAATCGGACTAATAACCACATCATACTCGCAACATTTTTATTTAAAACCGTCTCTTAGAAAAATATATTAAAAATGTAATTAACATTGTTCAAAATGGCGTTTGTTTTTTGAATTATTCCCAGTTGTAAACGCAGTGTCTGCCTTGCTGGAAGAGGTTAATCAGGAACTGGAGTCCAGAAAGCAACAGACTGTGGCGGATACCGTACTAGAACAGGTCTGGCGACTTTCACGTCGTGGCAACGCCGCTTGCGCTTAGACTTATACGAGGACCGATAAAAAAATATACTTATTATTACTTGTTTTTTTTTTATTTAACCACGAATTTATTTTTTATATTACAATCATAGACTTAGAATAAAATATAGACTGAGCATCTCATTCATAAATAGCTGGAAGATGCGGACAGACAACGTCTTGTTATTGTTGTGTTATTGTTTTTGGCTCTAACGAGTGCGACACGAGCGATAGATAGGCTGTCTCCGTCGTAACGGTCGTTTCCTGACGGCTCTGCCGCCCAACGCAACACTGTCTTTTGTTTCTTCAGTGCACCTGCACTCTCCGTATCATAGGCGGATTTTTTTTTTAATTTTAATGAAGCTATAATTCAATTAAAAATATATCGTATTTAAACTTTTTTATATTATTAAGATTTAGGATAAAGAAAATAGTTTAATATAAAGCAAAGTTTAGGACTTAGAAAAAAAATACGTCTTAGAGTCTAAAAACGATAAAAATAATAAAGTACGTGTTATAGAAGAAATTTTAATAATCGAAATTATTTAATTTTTGAAATTGATGATAAATTATTAATTTAATAAAATATTAATTTTAGTCAAACATTTACAACTCTAATATTAATCAAAACAGGATCTATTCTATAGATATAATAGAACAGAAAGAGAAAAAACTTTATAATTGTTTAATTTTTTTTTCCGGTAAAAGTGATGTCTTATTATGTAAATTAGAAAAAACAGGAATCTGTTCCATTAAAGCAAGCTTTTAGGAAGTGAATAAAATGAAAACTACATTTATTTAACTCGTTACTGTCTTTATTATAGAGTAAGTATAATAATGGTAATGGTGACTATACTTTATTCAATGGAAATATGCACCAAATTCAAACAAATATAAAAGGCATGAGTATAAACAGTATTACTACAGTAATATTGAACATTGGTTCAAAAATATTACATTAATATAATACAATATTACTGTAGGTATTACTGTCAACGTGCAAGCTTGTTTGAAGCTTGATGTATTTGTATGCGCTTGGTACATCTTGGCGTTGGAAAATGTATAGAAAATTATTAAGAAAAACTAGTACGTAATGGGGGATATCTTGATATACAGAGTGGTCGGAATTGTATTCAGGAAACTTTGGCAGCATAATCTGCAAATAAAATCAGTAAAAAAAATAGTATAAATTTATGTCCTAAAATGCTTCGTTTCAGAGATACAGAGTGTAGAAATTTCATTTTTATTTCGCTTTTTTCCAAATAATTTATGAAGAATGTATTGATTAATTCGTTTCCAAATATCTTGAGAACTATACTTGTGGCGAGTGTCAACAAGAGACCTTATTAAGTAAAAAACGTTGGAAATGTAAATTTTTCTCAGTAGTTTTATATAGATACAGACAAAAAGTATTACTCTTCAAATAACTTAAAAAATATGTAGGTGGCGCCCCCTATTAGTAAAAGTCAAATTGACATCTAAATCTAATTTTTCATGTCAAAAAACTCCCAAACGCCAATTTTCGTCCAAATATTGACGTCACTTCAGAAATTATTTGGAAAAAAATCGAAATAAAAATGAAACTTCTACACCCTGTATCTCCGAAACGAAGCATTTTAAAAACTTACAAGTTCATTTTTTTAGAAAGCCAATGCAACATTTCTGAGTTTCAAATAAAGATAAAAAACAGTAAAACATATAATAATAATATGTAAATTATTTTCTTGGATACATACATATATGGCAAATAATAACAGATTGTTTTATTAAAGATTTACGTTTTGGTTAATTCTAAAACTATCTTCAGATTATATGTGATATTACTTAAGTGATATTACATTATAAAAGAAAAAATGAAAATTATACCTTATAATCGAAAAAAAACGGCGTCAGCGATGGCTATGAAATGAAGATCGCTGTCATTTTATATGTAAAATTATATGGAGTATGTATCGATGGTTTTTTCCAAGCCAACTGGACGCCGTTTTTTTCGATCATACGGTATTACAAATTAATAATAGATTAACAGTCGAGAAAAAAAAAGAAAAAACTCTAGGTAAGTACTGGATAAATTTTAAAATGGCATATTTATTTTATCTTTGTTTAATATAAAAAAAACGAAATATCTACCTGGTTTACATAACCCTGTATAATTTGTGAAATAATAATGGACAAAAATGCAAGCGGTAAGAAAAATATTTACAAAAAATATGTACTTGTTTACATTTCTGGACCATTGTTCGTCATTTTTGTTATCATAATGGTGACCCTATCATAAAAACGTAGTTATTTCTATACCTGATGTGAAACTATAGGGAAAAAGTAATGTTTGTAAAATATTTTAGTCTTGAAAAAAAATAAGGAATGTTTGGTATTTTAAAATGTTTGGTAGCTTGTAATTTTTTCGACTTTCTCGATTGTTTATAGTTTATAATAAGCCTTAAAAATTGTTGTTTCATAATGGAATATCATTCTGGAATTCCTGTATGTTATTTTAGATTCTAAGGATGGTTTTAGAATAAAAAGAAACACATTTTTCATAAAAAAAAGCATTAAATTAACCAATGCCCAAGAAAATAATGTGTCTACTTCTTATGTACTTAATAATGTATCTACTCGTTATATTAATAACGAGGTTAGTAAGAACCTTTACGTAAATGATAAATATAAAAAATACAGATTTTCCAGGGTTTATAATTTACTAAATTATTATCTAAATAAGCGCCTTTCTACAACGCCACTGACGCCAAAATAGTAAATTTGACTTACCTGTGGAATGTTGTTCCAGGACTTAAATAGTCCAATTTCTTACAAATTTGGCACTGACGAACCTGTTTTATAGTTTTTAAATAAAAGTAATCAAAATAAACACTAAACCGACACTACACACTAAGAAAATCGAATCCAAAAAATACAAAATCAAAACATCCAATAAAAACAATAAAATAGCCATGGAGAAACTGTGACAACAAGGTTTTACGACACGTGCTTTACTCTACTATGGCTCTACTACGAGAGAATAAAGAATGAACAGGCGACCCGGCGATTGATGGGTGTTGCCAAATTGTAAAGAATTTGTCATTTTTAAATAGTCTCCGACTTATAATTTAGTAGTATAGGGACTATTTAATACATCTTTCTACTATTAAACACTACTTTATTAAAATACAGTTTTAATATCTCAATATATGTGTATAACAACAAAAAAAATATTAATAATATTTTAGACGTGACAACATAGGCTGGAGGCGAAAGACTCAGACGGCCGAGGTCAGCTGCACCCAGGAGTAAACATGTTTACAAAAATTAATATTGGACCGCGCTTAAATGTAAATAGTGTAGTCTATATTTTATTCTAAGTCTATGATTACAATGATCTCATTCGAAAGAAGGAAACGTAACCAGGGGAAGAAGTATATATTGTTCCGCTTTTTATTTACGTTTTTGTACTTGGAGACTTATTTTAATCGATTCTCGTATACGCAAAATTATATAGTTTGGCCTTATCGTATTCAGTACCAGCAGTTTTGTTTAGTTTGCCCAACACCCAACACTGGCATTTGTTTTAAATCGTTTTTTTTTATTTATTGCTTTTTTGGCATCTGTCCCAATAGAGTTTCGCATAGTTTACAATAATTTTAGATGCACTTTGATGTTCGGAAAATTGAAAATAAACAAGCTATGTTAAACGACTATTGATTCTATTTAGGATGAAGTTACACCAAATGGTTCGTTGCCTAAAGAAGAAGAAAAGAAAGTTGAAGAACAAGGTTCTGTAACTGTTCTAGGCATGGAAACGACGGCAAGCTGCGAGGGTGGTAAAAAATGGTCCAGACCCGACTCTCCAGTGTTGTCACATCCACCGGCGGTGGTTCCCAAGGAACCGTCACCTTCACCGCAGGTAGGATACAAATATAAATTAAAATATTGACAATTACACAAAAATCTATTTATTTTACAGCAGATTTTCTTGGAAGGTTCTCTGCCACCTCAGTCGCAGTTGTTGGTAGCAGACGCTGCGACTGAAGCTCAGAAGGACCCCGAAGATGACGCTCCCGTTGTACTTGCCGGTAAAATGACACTAAGTGTCATCAGTTTAGACTCCGGTAAGTACAGACATTGACAGACTGGTTCAGAAAAATAAAAATAAAAGAGTTTTAAGGATTATAACGATTAGAAGAAACCTGGTCCATCATTTTCTTTTTGGAATTATATATTCTAGAATAAATGGTGCATTCAAAGTGTCCCTTAGATCATATGTATAAGCAAAGATAAATATATCTATTTTAAATTCAAATTTTGTGTTTCTATATGTAACTTTCTAATATCGTCTGTGAAAGGGATGTATTCACTGAAGGTATGTTTCAGAGTGTTTTAATATTAGCAGGATTATAGAGGTGCAGCTCATAAACTTGAGTAATGTCTGATTCAGAGAAATAAATAAATATAGAGGCACATTTGAACTTTAAACCTCCTCTAGGTATACTTATTTCTCTGAGGTGTGAACTACTGAACACTGTAGTATCTTTTAGATAAGTAATTTCCTGAAGTTATATAACAGTTTATGAGAAAATAACTTAACTTCATTCAAATACTCAGCTCTTGTTCTATCATCATCAATCAGATTAATAAATTTAATACATTACCCCTTTTGTTTAAAACTAATTCACATAAATTACTCTACACACCACGTTCAGCTACTAAAACTAACATATACTCCCCCAAATAAATCTCTTGTACAAAGCTTTTGTCTATCCAACGACACATTTATTCTAGAATTCTATTCCGAACGTATTTCATAATGAAAGCTTTTTCTCACCCATTGTAGAAACTGGAACCGAAGACTCATCAAATTCCGGCAAAAAATCCGAAACATCTGACGAAGAAAAACAAACCATCAGCGGAAACACCTCTGATGAGTTTGAGAAGATCAATGCGGTTGATTTAGAGGAAGAAATTAACAATATCATCGAAGAAGCCGAAATAATAGCCTTGAATGGAGAAAAAAGGTGAAAACAGTTTTTACGTACACCCAGAAACATATTTCTATTTTTAATTTCTTCTCTTCAGATCCAACTCAAATGAAGAAGTAGAACGCGATGTCATAGAAGAGATCAGTAATGGAGTTAATATCATGGAAGATTCGTCCCCTGAACTGCCTGTCACCGACATCGTCAAAGACCCATTGGACAAACACGAAAAAAATCTTCTTTCTGAACCTACCTGCTTTAGTAGTATCGTGAACGTAGTTGCAGACGCCATTATTGAGGAGAAACCACGTGACATAGAAGAGTTACTGAGTAATGAAGAAATAAAACTTATTGCAAAATATCAAGCCTCAGACAATGATGAAGTTGTAAATGAAGACAAAGAAGTACCACCGAATCAGTCACTTGTTGCTCAGTTTTTACATGAAGAAAAAATAGCTTTGTTTAATCAAAATCCAGATGTAGATGAGATTTTTGTGAGGAGGAATGAACCTGTCAAAATTGGAATTCAGGAGGGAATAGAAATTATTGATATTGATTTAGTAGATGTCAAAGATAAGAACGCTGAAGATATTGAAGAAGTTGCCATGAATAAAAGGACAACTGAAGAAATTATTGATCAGAATCAAGATGAGTTCGATAAAGCTGAAAATTTAGAAGGTTCAAACGAAAATATAGTAGATAATTCAGAAGATAGACAGCCAGTGATTAATAGCCAAGCGGATTTGCTCTTAAGAGGTCTAGGAGTGGAAATTGAAGAAAACCAAGATAACAACGCATGTACCTCTGCTGAGTCTGAGGCAGTTCAAACAAACACTCAACAACAGACTGAACAGACTGATCATGAAGAAACTAAAGACCCGAATATAGAAAGGTCAGTCTTAGAAGATCAGAATGTTAACGTTTTGGACGTTATTGATCAAATTATTGAAGGCATAGAGTACCGTGAAGAGAGTGATAGCGAAGAACTACCACCACAAGATGTTGAGAGAAGTAGTTCAGATGAACCGGCCGTAGGAAGACTAAACGGCGTGGAAAACGAAACATCCGAAGTGAGTATCGATTATTTAACCTCAAAAAAATGTATTAAGTAACTTGTTTTTATTTTTCAGAACGAATTAGAGAATGAAGATGATTTTGAAATTGAAGAAATTATTGAATATGTAGACAACACTGATGAAGAAGGCGAAGAAATTATAGAAATGGACATAAATCAAGGGGAGAGAAGCCTTCAAAATGGGGACAATTGAAAATAAATCGAAAAAGCACATATAGCAAGATATACTTAAAGTTATATTTGCACTTTTACACCTTTTAGTAGATATAGTTGAAAAGAAGAAAATGTCTCCCCCAAAAGTACTGATATTTTTTTCACTAATATATCGTCGTAGAAACGTATATAAACATACTTAATAGGCAAATAAGCATTATATTAATTGTTTTTAAAGTTACATATTTAATAAATATGTTTCTCTATTCTAGTCAATGATTTTTTAGCTGGAATAATAGGTGCAACTCACGTCATTCTCACATTTTATTAATATTATAGATTACCACTGTGCCAAATTTTAAAATGGTTTTTGTCAAATAAATATATTATTATTATTTATTATTATTATTTTACACATAGAAAGCGGTAAAAAATACCGATGAGTCTTTGTAATATTTTCGACATTATTGCAATCGGCATTGTAATATTTTTTTTTTGAGACATGGTCATACTTATACAGACCGGACCACCGTAGTAGTAACATAGGCAGAACCGGACGAATTAGCGTATACCCGTCCGCCGGATAAAAAGCAAGCGAAAAAATGCGATAAAATAAAAATAGGTAGATATGTGATAAGAATGTTTCAGAATTTGTATTTATTCGTGTTTTAATTAGTAGTGGGAACTATCGAATGAATACTATCGAAACATTCGATAGTTGCAATTCATTCGAATAATTCGATAGTTAGTAAGAAAACATTCGTCGAAAACTATTCGAATAAAAATATCGAATAGATGCGTCATCTGCCTTAAAATATATTAATTCGGCAGCAAAAACCATTCATTTATAAAATTCATTCATTTGTAAAATTCATTTATTCGTCAGGATCGATTATAGTAAAATATAAACTGGATTTTCGTTGTCGCCCGGCGACGTAGGTTTCTTTCCTCGAAACCCGACAGCGGTCGGCGGTCGGTGGTAATGGTATGAAAAAAGCCGGCATCTTTGATTTTGAGTCAGATAAAGATAAGGAAGATAAGGACACATTATTTTTTTATTGAGGGGCTAGTATTTACACAAAAAATACATTATGAACGGCGCTGTTGCCGTATATTCGTATTAGTTGGTATTAGCAAAGAATATTATTCTTTGGTATTATAGTTAGTTAGGGATAGTATGACCATATATTTTGCATTTTTTTTATTAATATTCTGTTGTTACACTTCAGTAATACTTTTTATTTTGGATGTAGGAAAATGATTTTTAATGTTTTTAAGCAAAACTGGTTTAATAAATAATAATAACAGTAATAATTTGTTATACTTATTAACACCAAAATTTAAAATCATTTAATATAAATATTTTTTAAGTAGTAGCAAAATTTAAACAACAAATTAGAAGTCAAAATTATTTATATTAGATCCTATTTAAAAATAATATAGTCTCTAAATTTTTTGTGGCAACGTTGGTTTATTAAATAATAATAATTACAGAACTAATTTGTTATATTAACAACAAATTTTAAAATCATGAAATATAAACATATTTATTAATTTTCTGTGTAATAGAAGAAAAATATAAATAAAAAATTAGAAATCAAAATTATATATGTGTATTACATTTTATTACTTTGTATTAGTATTTAAAAATAGTATTTGCTTTTACTGGCATTTACTTTAAAAAATAAATGAAATATTTCTTCGCAAAAATCTACATGTAAGAGAATTAGCATAAACAAAATACAAATATCGTTAACTTTTTTTTTAAATTGGCACGTGTAAAACTTTAATCAATCAATTTAATTTTCTCATCCCAAAATTTGACTTCGATTTACTTTTTTTTTTACTTCGATAACCACATTACCACATTACTTAAATATGATTATTAAGTTCAACTAATTCATATTACTAAAACATCTAAAATACAAATACATATGTATTTTTAAAATTAATTGTAAGTTCACCTCATATCTCTGAAAAATTCTTACTTCTCAAAATTTTCCATTAAAAAAATAGACCATATACCGCATAAAATTAAATAATTGAAAGATCGGAAAATCACACAAATTTTCGGAAAAATGTTGACCACCTGCACACGCACAGAATCGTCAATTTAAAAAAAAAACACTACTACTTTAGTATTTTAAATATTTTAATAAACGCAAAAATAGCAGAGTATTTAGAAGGCAAGTTATAAAAATTTGGAAGAACTAATAATGCAGAAAGATCGGAAAATCACACAAATTTTCGGAAAAATGTTGACCACCTGCACACGCACAGAATCGTCAATTTAAAAAAAAAACACTACTACTTTAGTATTTTAAATATTTTAATAAACGCAAAAATAGCAGAGTATTTAGAAGGCAAGTTATAAAAATTTGGAAGAACTAATAATGCACTGACGCACACAAAAATCAAACGAATACTAAATTTCATTTATCAAAAGCATTCGATAGTCGTGGCTTAACGATAACCATTTAGTCGCACGGCGAGGTTGTCACATATGCTTTAGTATACAAATGAATGAATGATTTTATTCGAATGAAACCATTCGATAGTTGAAATCATTCATTCAGTAACCATTCGATAGTCTAATTCATTCGATAGTTCCCATCGCTAGTTTTAATAGCCAAAACGAATACATAGATTCTCGCTGCAGCTCTCGTGTAAAATTTATTTTTTAAGTAAAATAATGGATGTTTACGAAGTTCGTGAGAAAATTCAAATTGTAAAATGGTATTTCCAAAATAGGTCATATCGGGATATACAAACAATTTTTCCACAAACTTTTGTAAACAGGCCAATTCCATCTTTACCTACTATATCAAGAGTTATTAATAATTTTGAAACACATGGGTTTTAGGGTATTAGGGCTATCTAATAGCTGTATTTTTAGATTTTCAAATTAACTGATTAATTGGCTAACTTAATATTTTTAAATACGGGCCTGCATTTTTTATTTCAGGTTTTGAAAGAACTCGGTCTCCTGAGAGTAAAATGACATGCCACAGTTTTTTTTTGTTTCAGATATTGATTGATTCGATTGATTTTTTTTTTGTTTCAGATATTTGAACACAATTTACTTAAACTACTTTTAAGTTTGGCTCTGTTTTTTTACGGACGATTTTTTCGCAATTGATGATGGGGTTTCATAGTGCACAAAACGTCAAAATATCATTCGAGCCCCATCTACATTCCGAGTTTCGGCATCCTAGCTGACATAGGGCCCGAGTTACGACGTTCCAAGATCGTTACCACTTTTCCTCTCGCGAGCTCGTGTGTCACGGCCTTTAATTTTTACAACCATCGCACGTAAAGAAGTTGCACCTCAAAAATTTTCAAATTATTTCTTATTTTTGAATGGGTTTATATCAACTTCTTCAAGGTTTTACTATTCAACCTTGACCAAGCTATTTCGCACATAGTGTAAGAGCGCTTGCACACACACCGGCAAAATCGGTGCAGGAGTCGGCGCCGGCTTTGCACCCGTTCCGACAGTTGTATTTAATTCTATTGTATTTGCCAGATCGGGGTATATGTGAAGGAGCTAATTTATTTATATTGCAATCGATTTCAGCTCTAGCACCGACATCGATTTTGTCGGCGCCGCGGCGTGTGAAAGCGCTCTAACGCTGTTCAAAACTAACAGCACCTCTTCATTGCTACTTTTTTCAAACTACACAAATTAGCTTTTTATACATCTAAATAGATAAATTCAATGAGATTCCTACGATATACAAGTTATGCATATTGGCTTTTAAACGTCAGTAATTGGTAAAAATCATTTTTTCGGCGGCTTTAGTCCGAGCAACATCTGCAGTTTTTGACAACTCAATTTGAGGAATACCTTGAAGATTTACCTTTGGCACATTTTAATAGGTACCCTTTCCAACACGACACGGGGCTCCTCCACACTGAAGCAGTTGCTGCTTACCAGCTGCCTATTAGCGCGCTGATATGCAATTTTTTTTGCAAAAGCGAAACAATACATTCGATTGGCCAACTATTTGATTGCATCTGTGCGCAGCTTTATAAGAAAACATTCGTTACAAATCTGCAACTAAATAGTCGACCGACTTGAAAATTGCCTGTCAGCGCAGAGCCTTATGCCGGGACCCCATTAGGCCAAACGCCACGTCATCCCACGTGAGCCCACATGTTGCGACGTGGGAAAGAGTGTACACATGAGATCTGGGACCTCTGGGACAGACGAATCGTCCATGACACGTGTGATAGCGGGTAATGGCGTGCCGTGAACCCTAGTGTGTACGCAACACAGGTAATTAAATGGAAAAACATACGCACAGATCTTCATAACGTGCGGAAGCATTATATTCTTTCTATGATTATAACGCATATTCAAGCTACTGCAATTCCGCTACGGTAACGGAAGTTTAGCCCTTGTAGCGGAATTTGTGTCCATCAAAAAAAATTTTTTTTTTCTTATTTCAAGTAAATTAAAAAATAATGTTTAATTTACTTCATTACAACTTCTCAATATTTAATTTTTTGTGACTGTATTAAAATTATAGAAAATTTAGGTGGTATATAGCTGTTTTTTGTAACGTGTAGCGGAATTTTGAGCACGCCATATCGGTATAACAGCGCTTTCAGATCAGAGCGGACCGTCCGCGACTTCGAGCAATGTGTTTATATGAACAATTTCACATGGGTAGCGTATGCTCCGTCCGGAAGATTTAATCCGTCCGCGCCTTTTTATTCAAAGGTCCGCGCGGACGCTCCGCTTATGCTCCGCTCCACCTGAAAGTAGGGACTTTACCTGAAAGCGCTGTAAAGCGCCAAACAGTTGGCAACACTGATTACAGCCTGGACTATAGATAGATTGGTCGCGTTCATCAGGACTATATTCTGTGATCAGGACGTAGCCACGGACGTAGCGCTACCGCAGCGATCACTAATTTTCTGCTGAACGCGCCGATTAGTTGTGAGCGCTCTGGGATCAGTCGCCATTTTTTCCATCAGATTTAAAATACGCTACTATGGAGGGTAGAAGCACGGTGCAAAAACTTAAATGGCAGGATTTGGAACAAGAATTGCCAAATCCTGCTGTCAGAGGGCGCCACTGTCGATTTAAAAATACGTGGGCGGAGTAAGAGGGAAGGAAAAGTTTCTTCCCGCCACCCGTCTCATCATAATATTTCGTCATTTTTCCCGGCAGCCATCAGTGCATAGAGAAAGTTAATAGTTTAGAGAGTGGTGAATCGCGTGGTAAAATGTTGGGAGATTGCGCTTTTAGCGCCCTCTACTTGGCTACAGGTACGAACTATGAAAGAGCGGGAGATTTAAATTATTATTATACTTATTATTTTTAAGGCAATTAAAACTAAGAGTGCCCTTAACCAAAAACAGTGAAATAAATGGAGATACCTACTCAATTTTTATATTATCATGATATTAAAGGATATAAATACAGCATTTATAATCCTTTTACACCTTTTTAATCAAAGTCTTACACGCTAATATAAAATTTGACTATCTCCATTTATTTCACTATTTTTGGTTAACGGCACTCTTAATTTTAATTTTCCTTTTTTTATGGGAAAATGATTAAATGGGAAGAATTGAATGGGAATGGAAAGAGTGACCAATTATTGTATTTTGTATTAATTTATAATACCCCTATTCTACTAAATATCTAGCTACATTGTACTTACAGTTAAATAGCTACATTGTACTAGTTATATACATATTTACAGTTTTATGATGGCTATTATTTCTTTTCATTGTGCTATCTATTGATTCGATCCGACTTGAGTACTATACCTCGAGATGGCTCCAGGAATTATTTATCTTTACAGGCCTAGAATATGAAGATTCACAGTAGAATTTTTGGTTTTACTGCCTATTAGAAACAAACCTACCCCCCTACATCAAGGGGCATACAATTATGCCTTGTTCTCGGCCATGATATTCCTTCCATTCTATATCCAACATCCAACTTAGCACACCTTCTGGTTCACAACAGGGCCTAGACTGGTCGGATGATATTTTAACAGAATAGACCTTGATATCTCTTTCACACTTTCATTTAATAATTAAATAGGAGGGCTGGATGGTATAATTTCTAGAAAGAATAGTCTGTGAAATAAAAACTTCTGCATGGACATTACCTTTCTTACCTTTGTCTGCTATTTTTTAATAAAAAACAACTGTTTAGTTTGCACAAAAATAAAATTAACAATCAAAATTTCTTAAAAAATGATCAAGCCTTTGTACTACGCCGCGTGACGCTTTTTGAACAAACAACAAACAAAAAAGAATGAGGTTAGCGGCGTTGCCAATGTCAATTTTCTAAACTACCCAAAAATCTAAATTAAATTCGCCAATTTGGGGAGAAAAATGTCCCGATTCACCAAAAATTCCCCATATGATTATTTTAACAAAAAAAAATAATTTTAATAAAAATACAATATTTATTATATATGTTAGAGAGATTAAACTGTAAATTACCTCCTTGTTTTTTAATCCCTTCCCTAGTAGCACAGATATTCTGTGCTAGTAGTCATTAAATAATTTGAGGTCACTAAATTTTCTTTCAACTGAAGCATTTGCAAAGGGAAGCACAAGTAAAAAGCAGATTATAATTTTTAAGTTGGGAAAGATATATCGTCCCGCTCCGTTTTTAAAGCTAAAAATTTTACGCCATTTTCAATCAGCAATACAAGGATATATAGAATAAGGATATTCGACTGGCCCAAAAAAAACGTGCCGTATTTTGTCGAGGAAGACGATTTCGTCACGACCAATGGGCGTCGAGTATTTGAAATTGAAAACATATAAATTGACGGTAACCTATGTTTTTTGACTCATTTCACTGACAAATGTGATGAGATTGTTATTGTAATTTATAGATCCAAAATCCAAACGTTTTTGAATAAATAATTTATTTTAAAGTTATTTCCTAGAGGTTTGGTTTCGATGTATGGAAATCCGCAAGTTTTGTATCTGAAGCCGCAAAGAAATTTCGCTCTATAGTGAGAAAATGTTATATCTTTTTAAACGCGTAGAATAACAAAATTTCTTATTTCAGATGTTCTAAATGTGAGTGCTTAATGTCAAAAATTAAAATATATACTTGAAATATTTCAAGTTATACCCTTTGCCCTTTGGAAGTAAACAAATATTGAAGAAAGTGTTGTGCCTTCACAGAATTTAAATTGGCATTAGGAATAGATTTCCTTGATTTAGTAATAATATTGCTCATAGAAATTGATAATATACTATTTTATATTCACTCGTTCAAGTGCTGATCTATTTTTAAATTGAATATTTATGTAAGTATTATGTATAACACAATATAAATAATTTAAGGACATAAGAAGTTAAAATTTCAAGTGCCAATATTGATTATTTTTCCAGTTTTATTCAAATATATTGAAATTAATATGGAAACAAAAGTTCATAAATATTATTCTTAATAACAAGAATTGAGATTTGGGCATAAGTTTGAAAAGCCATGTCAGAAGAGTAGGATTAAAGACAAAGTATTAAGGTAACATATATTTACATAAAGTTTTAATAACACTGACAATTTTATTTGTTTATGTTTATTAATTAAAATTTAGTTGCAATTTATTTCATATTCTAATATTTTTGAGAAAATTTTACTTTTATACATACCTGAATATTATGCTGCTTTTTTATTTTAAAGTGTGCCGACTGTGCTGTTATTTTTATACTAATAATATTGTATACTGTAGGTATCGTATTCATATATAGTTATATATATATATATATATATATATATATATATATATATATATATATATATATATATATATATATATATATATATATATATATATATATATATATATATATATATATATATATATATATATATATATATATATATATATATCAGTAGTATAGATACTTACTTTCTTTCTATGTGTACTTATATCCTTTATAGTTTTCTAAGTGCATATAATACTACTTTTTTAAGAGAAGGCAGTTTTTAATAATCTATTGTTAATTCCCCTAATTCTGTGTCCCCTGGTTCTGCTATACAACAATTATATATTTTTTTATCATTACTGATTTTAAAAGTTTCTTTTCAAAGAATTTGACCATATATTTTTTTCAGAGTAATTGGGCTGTTCCTGAACAATATTGAATATAAATATTCAAAAATATGATTGATAACTGCATATCCTACTAAGTAGATCAATACCAAAATCCCATTAGAGAAATAAGTTAAAAATATGTTTTACTTGTATAATTTTCTTGCTATTTGTCATCAGTACAAGTATATAACCAAAAAAATGTTGATGCAAATTCTTTGTATAACATACGTACCCCTATGGTATTCAACTTTTCATTGTTCTTTTAATTAGATACACAATAAGCACATTAATTCGTCTATTAAACAACCAAAACTCTAACTACTTAAATTCACAATAAATGTATAAGCTTTGATCAATTCCTATTATTAATACCTGACGACTTCATACTTTATAACTACCAATGGCTATCCTACTAACACACTAGCCAACTAATAATAAATCTGTTCTAAAAAAATACAACATAAAGACATCGTTATTGCAATAATATAGAAATATATTCCATATATCATTAACTACCTATAAATACAATACCCACATCTTCTTTTACGCGAATAGTGCATTAAGAGGCAGAAATATTGCCTGCATTGTACATCATACAAATTGGCTAGAATTTATTAATATCCATTGCAAACATTTCTCTTTCAAAGGGTCTAAATGTTTTGTCTTTTTACTGTGTCCCTGTAATATGTTATCAATTAACAACAGTTATCAAATGACCTGGAGAATAATAATTGTTTTACCTTTTTTTCAAACTAAACTCTTTAAACAAACTATATAAATAAAATTTATCTCATAACCTAACTTGCTGCTAGAATTTCTTTCTTGTTATTCTATATTCCTGTATTGTTATTCTTCACATTATCAATTTCTATGAGCAATATCATTACTAAATCAAGGAAATCTATTCCTAATGCCAATTTAAATTCTGTGAAGGCACAACACTTTCTTCAGTATTTGTTTACTTCCAAAAAATGTCAAAGCATATAACTTGAAATAATATATCAAGTCAGTGCCTTCTATTAAAAGATCAGCCTACGGGCGAGATTTATGACGTCACGCTAGTTAGATATAACGGATTAATAAATATGTTGTAGAATACATGGAAAACATAATTATTCCTCAGATTTTTGGTTTGTATTTTAAAAATGATATAGTTTAAATGAAATATACATAATATACAGTTAATAACTACAACATATATACCTATTTATAGTAATAAATACTGTGACAAATAAACTATGAACCATACAAATGCAGCAAATGTTTTACAATGTACAAATAATGTATAGGTACATAAGATAATGGGTAAAATGTAAATATATTTTAAATTTTGGGGTTTGAAAATCGATCTAATTTAACAAAAAACATTTAATATCTACTAATAGTGATGTATTATTATTTGCATTCACAAAATTTATATGTATATTTTGCAAGTATCAATGTTCGAAAAATTATATTTACAAATAATACAATATTATCTAAAAAGCGTCAGCGATGGCTATGAAATGAAGATCGCTGGCATTTTATATGTTAAATTATTTTAAAATTTTGATTTTCTTGGGATTTAGGTTTGGGAAAAACGTTGATTAAGTTTTCATTTTGGGGTTTCATTTTATTTGTTTAAAAAACGTTTCGGCTAACTATAGTTTTTCACAGTGTTGTGTCATATGAGAAAATAGTGTCGAATATAATCCAAAAATTACATATACAATATAATTCACACCTCATAATGTTTACTGCAATTAATAAACTAATATAAACTTATCAAAAGATGACCACATATTTTTTAAAATTATTATTCTTAACACTAAAATTATCTACATTGACTATGGAGTACGCAGTAAACATTATGTGCGTGGTGTGAATATTTTATATGCAATTTTTTGGATTATATTCGACACTATTTTTTTCATATGACACAACACTGATGGAGGCTATAATGTTAGCCGAACCGTTTTTTTTTAAACCAAATAAAAATAATGAAAAACCAAATGAAAAATCAATCAGCGTTTTTCCCGAACCTAAATTCCAAGAAAATCAAAAAATTTAGAATATTTAGAATCAAGGTTCAAGAATATCAAATTTTCCAAGATTGTAAAATTCTAGTTAATTATTTTATGTGTACAGTTATTTAGGGAATGTCATCGATGTTTATTTCCAAGCCAACTAGACGCCGATTTTTTCGATGATACGGTATAATTCTTACGTAAAATGTAAATAACATTAGACCAATTAAAACAAAGAAATATGAATTTCTTAGTATTTTTAGTAACACCTTTATTCTTAAAACTTAATTTTGTATTATGCAAATATACCAATTTTATTGTTATTTTATTCATATTGTATTCAGCCATCACTTAAATATTTGATATTAATTTGGTATTATAAATAATCAATACTATTCATTAAAATTACTGAACAAATATATGTTATGCTTAACATACATTATATATTATCAAACAAAAACACATTCTTCTTCTTTTTAAACTGTATCAGTCTTGTCTTTACAAAAATCTTTTTTAAAATTTGAACTCAAAATAATAATCTTTTTCATGATCTCTAATACACATATTCTTTTATTTTTCCCTAGATCATAATACCTACCTACGTGTTTGAATCTATCGAAGCTGAACCAGCAACACTTGGAGTGGAGATTCCACAATATGAATAAAATAAACATAATTGTCCAGTTTTCATTAATACCATCATGGGAGAATATTATTTTTAAATTTATTAAAGATATTTTCAATAAAATTCTCTTGATTTATAACTCGTACCCACTTTTCTTGCTCTTCCGGACACTTTAGGCTGCCTAGTATAATAACTATCCTTAGTAACTATCCTTTCCACCAGGAAACACAACAAAGATGAGGCATAGCACCAATAACACACTCCACTTAAGCTTTATTGATGAATTGTTAGAGTCATAAAAACACACACAAAAATCACGATAAGTAAAAATGTATGGGCACTTTTAGGTTAAATCACTTGCACAACGTGTAATTTTTAAAATTTCTATTTTTTTATGCGAAACCGAGAGTGACCATATATCTGGTAGTAGTTTATGTCACTTCAACACCAAAATAATTAGTTTTTTGCACTACAATAATAAATAATACCAAAAATCAAAGAGTTAAAACCACGTTAAAACCAAAAATCAACCGACAAAATATGAAACGGAATCTAACCCAATATCTAAGTATGTACAGCTGATGAAGTAAACAAAAGTCCGCCCGTAGGCTGATCTTTTATTAGAAGGCACTGATCAAGTATATATTTAAATTTTTGACAAGCACTCACATTTAGAACATCTGAAATAAGAAATTTTGTAATTCTACACGTCTAAAAAGATATAATAACATTTTTCTCACTATAGAGCGAAATTTCTTTGCGGCTTCAGATACAAAACTTGCGGATTTCCATACATCGAAATACAAAATAAGATATTATTTATTAGTAGACAAATACCAGAATATAGAAGGCCAAACCAAACTCTAGGAAATAACTTTAAAATACATTATTTTTTCAAAAAACGTTTGGATCTATAAATTACAATAATAATCACATCACATCTGTCAGTGAAATGAGTCAAAAAACATAGGTTACCGTCAATTTATATGTTTTCAATTTCAAATACTCGACGCTAGAGTTGGGCGGTTATTGGTAAAAAACCGGTTATAGGTTAACCGGAATTATCTTTAAAAAATAATAACTTGACAAAATTAACCGACACAAATTAACCGGTTATTCAAATAACCTAACCTAGCAAAACTAAATATTTAGTTTTCCTATAGGTTTACTTACCTCTACACTCCATAGCTCTACTTCAAATTTAGATAATAAACTTAGTTAAATCGCATGATTAAATAGAGATTGTAGCAATGTAAGTATGTATATGTACAAAATGAGTTTAAATAAAAATGCTAACCTCACTTTTTTGACTAGACATGGATATGATATTAAAACTAGTAATTACTTAACGTTCAAATAAACCACACAACTCACAAGTTCTACAATCTACAACCAATTTATTTTAATCAAATACCAAAGAAAAATAAAGAGATTAAAATGAATAAATAATGAAAGATTATCTTCATTCATTACTTGAACTTCAATTTTGTATTCTTAGTCTAAGCTTCAAGAGAGACTTCAAACTACAAATAAAATATATTTACGGTGAAACGTGGGTGAAACTGGGCGAAACCATGGAAAACTTTTGAAGAACCGTTGAAAATCCGTTAAAGTTGGTTAAAATTTAATATAGAATTTAGAGAATCTATTTGAAGTTAGGTTCGTATCACTTGGCTAGCTGGTGGCTAGTAGTAGTCTATGCCATTAGTACTTTGTTTTACGGCCTGACCTGTCAGGGCCATTTGGCCGTTGTTTTGATTATTATCATCAGGGTTCGCCTGATGCCTGATTTAATTTTGACATTTGATGTTTGATGTCATATATTTTCGTTTTGGGAGCGGGAGCGGGATCTCCCGTTATCGTCGTAATATCTGGAAGATCCGTGCCGTTCGCTTCTTCGAAATTTACGATTCAAACAGCTAATATTTAATTGTTACTTGTTTTAAACAAGTACGATTTTTTAAAAAATAACCGGCTATAGGTTATTGAACGTAATGCAAGGTTATTAGGTTAACTGGTGAAAAAAAACTACCTTTAAATAACCGGTTATTTTAGAGGAAAATACCGGTTATTCAAAAAACCGGTTACTTTTGCCCATCTCTACTCGACGCTCATTGGTCGTGACGAAATCGTCTTCCTCGACAAAATACGGCATATTTTCCTACATAGCCCGCTATAGGGAGTTGAATATCCTTCTTCTATATATCCTTGCAGCAATAAAATGTTGAAACTCCCCTTATTTTCGCCCCCTATTGCTAAAATCCCCACAAAACTCCCAATCGGCTCCGGATTCCCCAAAATTTGGGGAATTCCCCACAAATTGGCAACGCTGGAGGTTAGCGTGTTCTTTCTGAATATGCTAAGACTAACGGACTAGTGTCGAAACACAGATAGCTAGATGAACGTATTTCGGTACTTGTGTCGATGCGCTACAGGTACATTTGCCTGCGCGTCGTATGTCTTCTGATGGTCTTCTGGCAGTCTTTTAATTTTTCTGTTTGTCTATGGCTGTGAAACAAAAACAAACCCATAGAGATTTCAGACTTCAATGCATTAAATAATTTTGTCAGTGCAATGGAAAATGTTAATAATTTAGTAATTAATGATTATCCAGGTCTGGATTTATATTTTTTATCTTTAGGTAAGTACAGCTGATTTAATCCACTCCCTATGTTATATTTAGTTTAATTTTAGAAGAGGAACATAAGGAGAAAATCATCAAAAATGCAACATTCTTTCAGGCCCATATAAACAGAAATTGTTTATGTTATCCCTTACAGCAAATAGAGAAAGATCATTTCTTCATGTTAGATTACAAATTAATTTTAAGTGACGAACATTTTATTCTCCAATGGCCAGAATTTAATGAAGAATTAATTAACTCAACTGAATTTACTTTAAATACTCTAGGCTTTGCAATGTATGATCACATTAACCAGATTCGAAAAGATATCCAAAACGAACAAAAAATTTTAAAAGCTCTCACAGTAATCCGTGTTAGAATTGTTAATTTTGAACCAATTTTACTACTGAAGGATGTTAATGTTAATTATTTTGGTAAATTTGTTTCCCTTTGTGGCACAGTGATTAAAGCTAGCATGGTAAAGATTATATGTAATGTTATGGCGTTTTATTGTGAGGTATGCCAACAAACTCAAGTGGTAAAACAAGCCAACGGAGTGTATACACCTTTAGAAAAATGCCAAACGCATGGCTGCCGAACTAAGGGTCACTTTAAATCTCTTTATAATTCTCCTTTAACGAAAACTGTATATTGGCAAAGCATAACTATACAAGAATCAGATGTAATAAGCTCTAAAGAAACATATTTTATATTATTAAATGTTTGTTTTTTAGTCGGCAATGGTTCCACAAACTTTAGAATGTGAATTGACAGCAGATTTAGTGAACTCTTGTTCACCTGGGGATGATATAAATATATCTGGAGTTATTAAGGTATGGTATATGGAATTGAATAAAAAAAATTAAATATTATGAGGAATTATGTTTTAGGTCAGAGATCCAAATAGCAATAAGTGTAAAAATAAACAAAACTCAGTATTTAATTTGTATTTAGAAGTTGTATCAGTTTATAACAATAAAACTGAAAGTGAGGGATCAAATTCGCACGACATAATGAATTTCACATCTGAAGATTATTATGCAATAAAAGTAAAGTAAAATATGTGATTGTTATGTTATTACTGATTATATTTTAAAGGAAATCCACGCTAATCCAAATTTGTTCACTTATTTAGTGAACTCATTAAGTCCCTCAATTTATGGACATGAATTAATAAAAGCCGGCTTACTGCTAGCCCTATTTAAGGGTACCAAATCTAACACGTCTAGGGCAGAATCTCATGTGCTGTTAATAGGTGACCCAGGTCTGGGAAAGAGTCAAATGTTAAAGAGTTGCACAAATGTCTCTCCTAGAGGTATACATAGTAAAATTATATACATTTTTTTGTTTATACATACAATATTTTAGGAGTCTATGTTTGTGGTAGCGGTAGCACTACGTCAGGTTTAACAGTAACGATGACCAGGGAAACTGGAGGTGAATACTCTTTAGAAGCAGGAGCTCTAATGTTATCAGATCAAGGATGTTGTTGTATAGATGAATTTGACAAGATGCCAACTCAACATGCGGTATTCTTAAAGTATAGGGGGTGTCGCTTAAATAAATGCAAATATTTTCATAGAATCTTTATAAAAGAAGTATATCTTTTTACCACTTTCCAAATATTAAAAAAATCACCTTTTGAGAGCCACTCAGCTCTAGAATGATTTTTAAAATTTGCTCATAGATTTGTTTTTAGGCTCAATTAAATTATTTGCACTGATTTAAAAGGCATTATGTAGTGATTAATATTTTGTTAAATAAGACAACATTTTTAGGGTTTATTAGAAGCAATGGAACAACAAAGCATAAGCATAGCTAAGGCTGGTGTAGTATGTTCATTACCGACAAAACCCACTCTCTTAGTAGCAGCCAATCCGGCTGGAGGCCACTATAACAAGGCAAAGACTGTAGCAGAAAATTTAAAAATTGGCTCACCCATGCTGTCCAGATTTGATCTGATTTTTATTTTGCTGGATAAACCAGATGAGGTAAGAAAAATATACAGCTACAAGAGTCACTCTTACTGGACAGACTATACAGTATGTCTTTGAAAAAGTGCAGGTGTTCAAAGACGTGGTAAATCAGGACAAAATGAAAATTTCTTAAAATAATTTTGACCTTCCGGTAAGAAAAATATACAGCTCAAGAGTCACTCTTACTGGACAGACTATACAGTGTGTCTTTGAAAAAGTGCAGGTGTTCAAAGACGTAAATCAGGACAAAATGAAAATTTCGTAAAATAATTTCGACCTTCCAACGTTGGGCACATGAACATTTGCCATATCGTGTAGGGTAGGAGACACACTTGTGAATTGCAATATTGTCGAAGCCTATGCCAAATGATGCGTCCAACGTTGATTCCAACGTTGGAAGCATCGTGTAGGATCCGCTTTACCACAAAGATAAAAAAGTATGCATTTAACTTTATTGAAAATATATTGTAATATGGCGAAAAAAGAATCTGCAATAATTTTTAAACCTAACCTAACTTGACACACGAGGCTGTTTTGAAGCGGTGTGCGCCGGGTGCTTAATGGCACTTCTATTGCCCAAAACACTAGAATTAGACTAAGCTTACGTCCATAGTGACAGGCTTCCCGCTTCTCCCTTTATTGCGGCAGACTAGCGGTAAAAAATAAAGCAACAACTGTATGTAGCCGGCTAACTTGCGGACTATGGCCACATGATGGCCACGCTCATGCAATTGCTCCTCTATTTTTACGCCTACCTCCAAGCTACGCAGTTGCGGTGCCGAACCGTGGTTTGAAACACGCCGCGACGCCATCATACCGCTTTGTCCGTTTTAGCTCTTATTCTTCCAGTTAAGTTGAAAATAACTAAGAATATATTAGTGCATATTAAGAAATAAATACAGTACGGTTTTCTCGAATATTAGTAAACCCACTGATAATTTTAGTACTACCAGTTAATTTTGGTAATTTTGAATTGTGTAGAAAATTAGAAAATACACATAAATATGCAACGTAAGAGGTGGCAACATTGCAAGGCAACAATGCATTGTAAAGAAATACCATATACTTATAGAGTAAGATCCATATTTTTAGTTATCTTCCTCACCCGGTATTCAAAGCACAACATGAGAGCACTACTGAGAGCCTAAGGTTTCATCCTTGTGAAAATAAATTATGTCAGATCGCTCTGGGATCTTGGACTATTATAAACTCTACAGATTATCGCCTATCCCTGCAATGTGTTGGAGTTGAAACCGAGTTAGAGACAACTAGGTAACCGGTCCATGGTCCATGTATATTTCACATCAGTTCGTCTGTTAGGCAAGAAAATGTAAATTTTCAACAATTTGATTTTCAGAAAAGCCTCAGGAGTGTTTCTTGCACCTATGTGACACCCAAAGTGTATGTTTACATGCATCCGTAATGCGTTGTCCGTCGTTTTTTTGCAATTTTATTGGTTTATTTCAAAAATGGCAGATCATACGTGACGGAATATGGATGGAATGACGCATGACGGATACAGATAAGCCCATACTAATACATAAATATTAATTAACCTATAGTTCATATCAAATAAACTTTTAGTCACGTGATTAAGCTTGGCCGGCATAGCGTTGCCCACTTATACATATTTTCTTTTAACCAAAATGTTTTGGGAAACAAAAATAAATACATTATAAATATATAAACAGTTATTATTTACATCGACAAAACTCATTTTCTTAATAGCACTTAAAGGACATAAAGGGTCATTACTACCGTTTTCCCGTTCAAAATATTCTAATAAAGTCGCGATGAGTTTTTTACGGCTATATTAAGCTACCTTGTACACTTCGCACTAAAAGAGGTTCTAAAAAGAACAATGTTCGACTGCAAGGTCTGCTAGTAAACATTTTTAAACTTAAAATATCAAAACACCATTTTGTTTAAACCAAAAACTCGTAATACAAAATTAAGTGTCAAAATGAATGGCAATGTCAGGAAATAAATAAATAAATATGGCAACTTGACATTTTTTACAGCAGAGCTACCACCTGAATTACCAGCGCGAAATTTAAATTCCAGTTCGTCAGCTCGGCGCCGTATATGTCCATGGTTGACAACAATCAATTTAAAAATCGCGCCCTCGATTACGAAATTAAAAGTTTAATTAATATCAAATATAGTTACTTGTTACTCAATAGCTGCCTATATACGGAAAGGCCAGGCCACAAGGTCCTGCCTTGAGGCAGTGCCTTTCGCCCAAAATACCATAATAAAAAAAGGCAAAGGCAAAGTCCGCGGACTTGGCCTTTCTCACAAAACTATGATATTTTGGGTGAAAGGTTGGGCCTTTCCGTGTATGGGGGGCTAATAGTAGGAATACCATTTTAGGATTTCGATAAATATCTTTCGAAGCATATTTTGTCAGCCCACTCGACCAAAAAAAGAAAATATATTTCCCGTGATGTGGACATGAATGATTCAATTTCAAATAGAGAATCTCTAAGGTAATCATTACTAAGAAATGTATGTTATGTAAAAAATATATTTTTAACATAGAAATCGCTTGAAGACACTTGGGAAGGACATAGAGCCACTTCCACATAAATTATTCAGAAAATATATTGCTTATGCTCAAAAATACGTCAACCCGTATATTTCAGATGGTGCTAAGACTATTTTAGCTGAATTTTATGTTGCCTTACGTAAACAGTTCGCTTCGGGAGATTGTACACCTGTAACAGCAAGGCAGTTGTATTCACTTATACGTTTAACACAAGTATTTTTTATATTTCTTGTACATAACCTTCACTATATGAAATGTATATTTAGGCTAGAGCAAAAGCTGAGTTAAGAGAAGAAGCTACCGAAGATGACGCAAGAGACGTTATAGAAATTATGAAACACAGTATTGTGGACATATTCACCAACGAGGATGGTATGTTAGACACTACCAGGTCTCAAATGGGCACGGGAATGAGTTTCAAAAACCAAGTAAGCTCATTTATTTTTTTTTTTTTTTTAAGCACTCAAAACGTTATTTTAAGGTACTGAAATTGGTGGAAATGCTTCAAAGAAAGTCAGAAATCGAATCTAAATCTTTATTCACGTTGCAAGAGATAAAAAACGCAAGCGAATCGGTAGGAATATTGCAGTCAAAGTTCACCAACACGTTACAATCCTTAAATATACAGGGATACTTGTTAAGTAAAGGCAGGAATACTTATCAACTAAACTCCGCATATTTATAGTTTTGCTAATAATAATTTTTTATTTTTTTTAAATGAAGCAGTTTTCTTTATGTTCTTGCCACTGAGCCATTTGACAAGACCTGGAGCAGTACCAAGTCTTTTTGCAGTTTGAACATCTTTGGATTGCTGATTTTCTGCAATGGGCGCAGGCGTTTGTGCTCTTAGCCTCAAATTTTTCTATCAAGTCAGTGTTGTAGGCTTCACTTAGTCTTCAAAAGAAAAAGACATATAATTTATACAAATTCAATGAATACTTCTTACTTTCTGGCTGCTTGTTGCAGAGCATCTCTGTTAGTCGAAAAAACGTTCGACACCTGATTCTCCGCTATTTTTTTCCATCTAGCGCCACAATCTTGCAATATCCTTTCCTTAATTTCTAAAATTGGTTCCAAAAGTATTGGTTTAGCAGGAGTCGCGTATTCTTCCATACAAGAAACTCTACACAACCAGTGCTAAAATGAATGGAACAAAAAAACTAAAGGTATGAGACTAAAGTAGGGTCCCATTCCTACAAGTTTTTTCTTACTAATATATTTTTATTTACGATTGCCAATAAAATCTAGAGACAGTATAAACATAAAGAAGGGTCTTACATTGTCTACGCATGTTCTCAATTGCAGGATAATATTTAGAAGATTTTGAATGAACTAGACAATATGAATATAAATAAGGATCTCGTTCTTTCAATTTTTCTTCTTGCTATGACCTAAAGACAGTATGAACATAAAGAAGGGATATGTTTTACGCATGTTCTCAGTTACCGTATAAAATTTAGGAGTTCTTGAATGAAAAATACTAAAGACACTACGAACATAAATAAGGGTCTCATCCCTTCAAGTTTTTTTATGATTATGATCTCCCATTACAAATGATTGGCAATATAAAATAAAGACAGTATGAACATAAGGAAGGGTCCTATATGTTTTTACCTTTAATTCCATCAATGGTGATAACTGGTCCAAAATATTCGGAGTCATCAGCGGTATCAGTTTTACCAACTGTCTCCGCCTATTCTCAGTTATTGGATAATATTTAGGACATTCCGGATCCAAAAGAACGTGCCTTAAGGCCAACCAAACTTGGGCTTCGGCCTGACATAACTGTTCCCCGTCCCAATTCATCCATTTTCCATTAATGTATTGTTTCCCGTCACAAAACCAGGGTTTCCCAATAAGTATTTCCGTTAAGAGCACTGGAATGTCATGAGTAGTATATATCCTGGAACACACGCTTATAGAGAGCCTAAAAATATATCAAATTTATGTCAAAATCGCTTAGTAAGATTGTTTTTGAATATTCTATTTGCTATTGGCTTGGTGCATTCTCCGCCGGTGAATCAATATATTATATATTACGCTCAATAGTCGAATTCAGGCAATGTCCGAGAAAAATACGCAAATCTAGTTTTGACTAAGGAATATTTCCCAAACCCGAAAAATTAATTTTATTCGATTCTTTTTTTTTTGCTTATAGTGTGATTTGATTGCATTGGTTTCACTCTTTTTGGTTGGATTAGTTTAGTTATTTGGCGACTTGGTTAGCGTGGTTATTTGGAGGGTGTTAATTCATTGGTTAGTTGGTTTTTAGGGTTTGGAAAATATTTGCTCAAAACTAGATTTGCGTATTTTTTTCGGGCATTGCCCGAATTCGATTATTGAGCGTAATATATACAAATACACAGGTTTAAATAGCGAGTATACGAAATTATTCTAAAAGTGTTAGGAAGTATAATTTGTGAAAATTCTAAAAATAAAAAAGTAAATGTTTTGATATCTGCAGAAGGTCTAACTTGTATTATTCCAGTTAAAAACACTTTAGATGAGTTCATTCAACTAAGGTAGTTTAATAACCGGTTTTGCTAGTGGGGCATAATTGGGGCTATTTTGGCTACAACAAAGTTACAAAGTTTTTTAAAGGTACATAATTATAATTTTAGATGTTCAAAAAATATTATCTAATTGATTAAAAAAAGTATACCATTAATATTGCAAATTCTATTTAATTTTTTGATTATGTAACGAGCACTTTGTTTACTCATTTGTTTCGTCGAACTGCTTGAATTAATTTTTGCTTTTGATCAAATCGGTGTGAGAAACTATGAAATGTTGTTTGAGAGTTGAATATCCGGAAAAGTCGAGTTATTGAATGTTATTGCACCTAACAACGCTCTAATTACGCTCTCCTTTACGCATTAACATTTTTTCGGCAATTTTAGTAACATTAGAAATTTTCACAACACAACACGGCGCCTAGTTCAAATTCTTTTTCACTTATTTTTTACTACCCGAAACAGCGTTACATCACACAAACCTCGTACCAGATACCAGCGTGTTTTATAGTTTCAATAACTGCACTAGCAAAAAATCAAAATACTTAAATATTATGAAAACCACGATTTCAATATTAAGCTCCGCGCGCACTGCATCGGATCGGGCCGGCGAGAAACGGCGAAGGCGATGACTCGACTATCGTAGATCGAGGTAGGAATCTGGCCTCTACAGGCCGAAATGTTTTAGTGGACGCCGGCGCCGTCTATATGTACGATGGTCGCAGTCGCTTTTGCTGGTCGGTCCGATCCGATGCAGTGCGCGCGGAGCCTTAGAGAACAACGGCCTACGGTCGACTCGGCCGCTGCTGGCACGTATACGTAGACGTAAAAAATCTTTTACATGTCAAAATATACAAATGCGCATGCATACCTAAACGTTTACGTGTTTGTAGGCTGTGCCGTTGTTCTCTATTATCTTAATGTGATCAACATGAGGGTGCATGCACACTGTCCTAAAAACGGCGTATCGGCGCGGCGTAACGACCTTGGATAGATTTCCAGTAATTCTATTGGCTGAAATTTTTGACAGATAAAATTTCTGACAGATGACTTTTTCAGCCAATAGAATTGCTAGAAATCGATTCAAGGACGTTACGCCGATACGCCGTTTCTAGGATAGTGTGGATGTACCCTGACGGCGGCGCCGGCGTGAAGTACATAATGATAATTTCTGATTTCTGGCGTAGAGTGCGCTGCAGTCGAAATTTGTTGAAATCAACTGAAATGCACCAAGCCTATAAACATATTGTCAATTGGTTGAGTAAGAATTATACAGGTTGTAAGTGGATCAAATCTACTTTTTTTATTTATACATACCTGTCCATATTCTCAACAAGATATCTGAGTATAGATAATCCCCGAATACCTATTTCAAATGACAAATTTGTTCTTTGTCGGCACAATTCGTCTTCAGACGTCTCTTTATGATCAGGTTGGTCTTTAGGTAAGACATTTAAGAGCTGGGATATAGTACCAGTGACGTAATCAAGTAGATCTATGGCTGAATCGCCTAGAGCTTCAAAAGAACGACATTTAATGTTATGAGTAAAAAATCACAAATTTTGAAACCTTCACATGCGCTGGAATGGTACATAAATAGCTCTAACAGTGATACACAAACCCCTTCATGATACAGGATGGAATATGCTATGAAAGTACACTCTGGTGCTGGTTCTAACTGTAATAATTTAGGCAGCACCTTATGCTTCCAAATGTTTATTAATATAGCTTCATGTATAAGTACATATACCTAGAATAAATAATTTCTTAGTCATCTTAAGATACGACTTAAAAATAATACTTTTCCAAAAGAAATTAAAGCTTCTTTGACATGTTCCTCTTTTAAAGAAGCTGCTTCAACTAGAGCTTCTTGGTTTAATTTCTGGATTCTGTTATGCCATTCTAACCATCTTAAAGAAAACACAATAATTTATTTCTTCATGTATGAAACATACGTTACTTACTGTTCAGTTCCTAAATTCTTCATTCTTTGAGGATGCAAGGCTTCAACAAAAAAATCAATTTCACTTGGCAGTAAAACACTTTCCATTTCAAATATAAGTTTGCAATTTTTATTTTTTTTATATCTTTGTTTTATACTTTGTTTTATACATGTTTTGTATAAAATATTGACATATTGACAAAACAAGGTAACTATAGTAACTATAGTGATATAAACTATGAATTTGTACTGTTACTGCATCCATAGAAACCATAATTCATATACACCTTTATACACTGAAAAAAAAATTCAGAACAAAAAACAGGCAGTTTTTTTTTCAGTTTATTCTGGTTTATTCATTATATAGACAACCCATTCGACGTTTATTTACTTGGAACTCTCCTTACATACCTAGATATTGGCTTAATGTAACAAGTTGAGTTTCGAGTCCGACTTCGATACGACACAATACATTATATGCCGTACTTTAAATTTGTAAAGGGATGGATTGTGGGGGGTTTAATTGGAGATGCAAAATAATATGTAGACGATCAGACTCAGCTTTATTCAGTCTAGTGCTTCAGGCTCGATCTGATACAAAAAATCCCTTAATTATGGTAACAGGTAATTTGCGATTAGCAAACAGAAAGACTCACCTAATACCGGGATACAGCCTCACTAATATATTTATTATATTATTCACTAACACCTTCGTGGCTATTTGATCGGCCATTAAACTGCGAATATTCATACGGCAGTAAAAACCTACATGTACCTATTGTACCTATGTTTTATTAGAATACCACATTTTTTGCGGGGTATAAACCTTAATGGTTACCTCGCACTTACCCAGCGCATTCACCATATTTAACAATAGTAAATAAAATAATAAAAACAGTAGAGAACAACGGCCTACGGTCGAGTTGGCCGCTGCTGGCACGCATCCGTAGACGCAAAGCGTAGACGTAAAGAAACTTTTACGTGTATAAAAAAATATAATAAATGCGCATGCGTACGTAAACGTTTACATGTTTGTAGTCTGTGCCGTTGTTCTCTAATAGAGAACATGCGCATTTCTTATATTTTTTATACACGTAAAAGATTCTTTACGTATACGTGCCAGCAGCGGCCAACTCGACCGTAGGCCGTTGTTCTCTAATTAATACCAAATAATTCCCGTTACAAATTTTGCGAATTTAGAATATTCTATAGGCTTGGTGCATTTCAGTTGATTTCAAAAAATTCCGACCGCAACGCTCTCTACGGCAGAAATCAGACATTTTCGCTATATATTTCACACCAAGAATCAGCGAAAAACTCCTTCACATCATAATATGCCCTCGCAACCAGCGAAGACCTTTTTCTAAACTATTCTCCTATTATAATAAAGGTCCTTAGCGGCTCTTATAGTCTTATGATAATTTTTTCTTATGAGGATATATATTTCTTATATTTAGTGGCAGGTGATGATTAAATATCTTTTTGCCAGTGAAAACAAATGATTCGTGAACCAAACTCGATGATGGTATCGGGAGCATAATCACATAGGATTGTCGGGTGTTGGCGGACACGTTCTGAATTTAGTCTCTGAAATTCTTATGCATTAGACGTGCAGCTTCCAATATCGACAACAATTGTCAACAACACACAAATTTCTTATTGCCCTATTTTGAATTATGAAAACTGCATTGAACCATCTTCTGTCCCCAAAAAACATATCCCAAATCGGAGCTGTGGTAACTTTCATGGCATAGAAGGCACTGGAAATCCTAGGGATAATGTAGCTGACATGGGCCTCCAACTTTAGAATCTATTCACTGTTTTATTTTCCAATGTATGATATTTCCATTCAATATTGATACTGGAAATATCACATATCTTATTAGCGTCACACCAATATTTAATTAAAGCCATATCTCGACTTACCAAGTATGTTAAAGTATCAGACTTTCCACTCCAAAGTATTTATGACTTAAAAATAATACTTTGTAGCATCGTCTGCAAAAAGTGTAAACCTTCCGGAAATCCGTAAGCTGGCCATATCGTTAATAAATAAATAATAAATGCCTTTATTGTCAAAAATTTTTTCAATTTGTAGACAAAGGTAAACTAACAAACAAAGTAAAAAAACAAGGTACACAAACAAACAAACAAAAGATAATACAAAACATTATACAAATAATATTGTCAGTCTTATTGTTAAAATAAACATTTATAAATGTTTACAATGTTAAAGAACAAAAAAATAAAAATAATATTCAAAAATATTTAACTAGTTTATAGTAAAATATCAATGACCTCTAAATAAATTCATTTCGATGTCATTAGTAAATATAGCAATAGCAAACATTAGACCAGTGTTTACAAGATCAAATTCGATTTTCAAAATATAATTCATTTACGGCGTAGAAAGCCTTGTCTAGTAAATAAGAGTTCAATGCTTTGCGAAATGAAAAAAATGATGTTATGGATTTGATTTCAAATGGCAGGTGATTGTGCATTTTTTTCGAGTTGTATAATATTGAACTTTTAACTAACTCTGAGGGTGGGGTAGGTAGATAAAGATCTTCCTCCGCGTTCCTGAGTGGATAAGTGTGAGATGGCCTTTCTTGAGAAGCTGATACATGTTTACGTATTAGGCAAACGGATTCAAATATAAATAAGGAAGGAAGAGTCAATATTTTTAATTCTTTAAAAAAGTCCCGGCAATGAGTTCTGCTGTTTGAATATCGAACAGCTCTCTTCTGGAGCTTGAAAATGCGGTCAGATTGAGTCGCACAACACGTACCCCAGAATGGAAGGGCATACCTGAGGTGCGACTCAAAAAGTGCATAATAAACAGTTCTAGCCACTGACAAGTTAAGCTCCTTAGAAACAGACCTTAATGCAAAACAGGTAGAGCACAATTTTTTCGACAAAGCTTCGATATGTATGTCCCATTTCAGAGAATTGTCCACAACAAGCCGAAGAATTTTACAGATTTTACGACGTCAATGGTGGTGTTGTTAAGTACAAAAGGCTGCAACGAGTTTTTATACGACAAAGCTTTAGTTTTAGAAATGTTGAGACACAGGAGGTTCGAATCGCACCAAGATTTAATGGTGATTAAGTCATTTGATATAATCCTATGAAGTGCCGTGATGTCCTTGTTGCTCCAAGTTGTAGCATTAGAAGTTATAAAAAAATGATGGAATGTTTTTTTTATAAGAATTTTCTTTTAGAAAAAATATTAAAACAACTAATACTATGCGACGGAGCTGTTCGCCGGTGAGCAATGGGTCGTAAGCTAGTGAAAATTAAATTGTGATAATTACGTCTTTATAATATACTGGGCGCCACTCAGTTTTCCATTTACTTTCAAAAACTTCTAAGTTGAGAACTGAGAAATCAACTCAGAATATAGGTATTACTTATTTTAGGAATTACACAAATGAAACGCTGAGATAAACTAACAACTAAGTATAATTAATAATTAAATGTTAATTAGAATAAAATTAGACTATGAATAATTTGATGTTTGAAAATGTTGGTTGGTAAATAGTATGTATTAAAATAGATCACTCAAGATGGTAGTTAAATCTGCACGCTTCTGAATATTAATATTTTATTAATTATTCCGCAAAAAGTCTGGCGATCTTGGTACCAAAATATAGGGACTCTTTATATTAAAAAAACCGTACTATGTATATATCAGAAATATGCATAACATGAATAAAATATTTCAAAGTGACTCTAAAGTAATAAAATATCTAATATGCCTGAAGGGCTTGAAGCATTAAAGTGAACTTAAATTATATAAAAAGAAATGATCTGGCCTTTTATATCCGTTCTGGTCACAAGCTGGTTGTGGTGAACTGCTGGAACTGGATCGTGATTAAAACGTCTCCACCCAGACAGGATCGGAAAATGCTGTATATTCAGGAGATTCCTCCGTTATTCAACGTGCATATTGTAGGGACAAACGTGGCCCAAATGTCAGATACAATAAACAAAATGGCACCAGAAATGCGTACCATAAAATAAAACCCTGTACAAATAGAAAAAAGGTATTAGGAAACGTTATGTAAAAAATAAAGGTCTTAACCTCCGCTCAGAGGGTTTTCCCACACAAATTTCAAAAATGCCCAAAAAAACGCCGATAATTCTATCGGGTTCAGCTTCAACCACCAATATAGCGATAAAGGTAGGCAAGAGGTATATACCTATACCGTCAGAAATAAAGTGACGAACAACTTCGACCGGCTGAAATAACTATCCAGAAATAAACTTGTAAAAAAATAAAAGATAATAACAATACTTAGAATGCCATCTCGGTGCGAGGACTCAAACTTGAATTGTTTAAATAAAATAATTCTGTACATTTATTTAAATTGTGTGAATTTTAAATAAAATGCTACAAAGTGAAGCTAGTGTCGTCCGCAAAAAGACATATTTTGCCACTGATGTTTATGTTAGCAATGTCGTTAATAAAAAGAAGAAACAAAATAGGGCCTAGTACTGAGCCTTGTGGTACTCCACATTCTATTGGCTTGCTAGAAGACAACGTGGTATCCACCCTCACAAGTTGACTTCTGTTGCTCAGATACGACTTAAACCATACGAGAGATGATCCCCTGAACCCATAGTGTTGCAGTTTATTAATTAGGATCTTATGATTTACACAATCGAACGCCTTAGAAAAATCACAGAAAATTGTTGCTGTAGAATGATGGTTGTTTAGGCTGGAGTAAACTTTATTAAGGAGAGAAAACATAGCGTCATTTGTGGACTTGTTGCTTAGAAATCCAAATTGATATTCACTAAGTATTTTGTACTTAAACAGAAAAGATACCAGCCTTCTTTTAACCAACCTTTCTATGATCTTAGATAGCGTTGGAAGGAGTGCAATTGGGCGATAGTTAGAAGCTTCATCTTTGTCTCCTCCTTTATGCAGAGGAATGATTATTGCCGTCTTAAGACATTTTGGAAAAATACCATTTTGGAACGATATGTTTATTAAAGTTGTTAGGTGATTCAGAGTGCTTCCTGGCAGATTCGAAAACATTTTTAAAGTTAGCCCGTCGGTCCCAGGAGAGGATTTATTTTTGATGGTATTAATTGTACTGCGAAGCTCTTCTAAAACTACGCGCAAAAAAAAAAGAAACTGTGTAAGTTTACATTATCATTAGAGAGATAAGAAAGTGGATCATGAGGAGGACATATGGTATTAGTTAAGTTTTTCGCTACATTTACAAAGTAATCGTTAAGGTTCTCAGGTGAGGTAGAGATATTGCTAGACGAAGAAGCTTTGTTTCTCAATTCATTCACAATAGACCATGTTTTCTTAGCAACATTACCAGAATTGACTATTCTCCTATTATAATAAAGGTCCTTAGCGGCTCTTATAGTCTTATGATAAATTTTTCTGTATAGTTTTACGTAATTGTGGAAGAGACTGTCTGAGAATATTTTTAAGTGATATAATGAACGTATGTTTTTAGAAGATATGCGTAGACCTTTAGTGATCCAAGGTTTATTATGCTTATTTTTTATAGGCCTAAGAGGAAAGGATTTGAACGCTAGACTGGTTAATGTTTTTACGAAAATAGAAAATTCGGTGTCGACATCATAAGAGCTAGTATCCCAGTTGGTTGTTTTACATGTGTCTGAAGCATTCTTTTCTGAAAAAATACGGCATAATTTACGAGGGGCATTTTTTGATTTTGGACTTTATCGAAAATTCAGTTAAAACTGCTTCATGATCAGAGAGACCCGAGCTAAAGACGTTGCAGGCGATGGAGTTAGGATCAAAAGAGGACACAACATAGTCTATAGTACTAGAACTGGTATTGGATATTTTGGTAGGCGAGCCTACATGCATGGCTATTCAAAAGAATCAAAAATGGACTGAAGAAACTC